TTACTCTGCTTTCCCGTTTCATTTTGTATAGACGGATGACTTTTTAAAATCCTAGCGTCCTAGTGTTGTGGTCGTGAATTACCTCAACGCAGATCCATAAATCAAAAACAATGCTGACAAGGTAACGGCGGCAGTCTGCGTTCAGTCACTATAAAACGACCTTAAGCCTGCCACATTCCGCTCTTCACCTGTCTAAAGCCTAAATAAACCAAGAAAATAAATACATTGCTGAGAAAGGTTGCACAGTTGATGAGCTTGAGTCATTTCTCATCACTATGGCTGTAGGTTTGTGTAGATAACAGTTCCACCTCCATGTGTGCGTAGGCAGGCTCAGTAAACCCTGTCCACTGGTCTGTGTTGTTGTAGAGTTTTTGTTTTTCTCTTGGAGGGCTGTGAAGAGGCAGCTGGGTGGGCTGGGGCGTTGAAGGTCCACTCTGTTTTTGTCGGTGTTAGCTCATTGCTGGGTTGAATAGTAATGAAGCCATGTTCTGTAACTGCTGTAGTTTTTACAATCACGTGTTTTTGTATAATTATATGGAAATTAGTGAATAATAGAGAACAGATATAGTAGACGTCACAAAAGTCTATATTTAAAATGCATATTCTCACTTGTTTTTTTAATATTAACTATATTTTATTCTTGGCACATTAAGAGCAACGTAATGCTTATGCCTTCTTGTCTTTTTTCTTTGGATGTAAACTAAAAATGTAATTATTGTACATATATGCTTATAACCATAACTCAGAATGACAACTTTAAATTTCAAACCTGTATAACTGGGGCTGGGTAACTTTGAGTGTTTAATGATGATTCTTCAAGGGCCTTTTATCTAGAATTTAAAAAAATAGATTTATAAGATTCATTAATTTGATTCAATACCATTTATTTTCAACAAGAAAGCTGTTTCTAATGAATAATTTGTGGTGATCCTGTCTATAATTATATTTCCCCCCCTTGCCATACTGTTACGTTTTAACGATACCCACCAGTCCTAGTACTGAAATGGATTCTCAAATTCACCTGCAGGAACTGTCCAAAAGAGCTGGTATTTTGGAGATGGTCTGACACTTGTATAACTGTCACTATTTTGACACTTGTTAAATTCTTACTCATCCCTTCACTCAAACCAGTGTTGAATTTCCCTGCTATAGTTTAGAAAGAAAAATTTTCTTTCAGTGTCTAACAGAATATTCAAAGTTCAAATATTTGCAAAGTTAGAATCTGTGTTACCAATTTTGAAGCAGACCTTTTATGTTAATTGAATTCGGAGTGATTCTTACATGTTTGAGTAATCTTTAATCTGGGGCGGCAGTAGCTCAGTTGGTAGCAACATTTGTCCACTGATCTCAAAGTTAGAGTGACATTCTCAACATAAACATCACTGGTTGAGTGGTCAGATCCCCTGACCCACAGGTTGGCTGGTGTGATTCCAGCTCCCACGGATGAATGCTGTCGTTGTGTCCTTGGGCAAGACACTTAACCCGTACACTGGTGTATGAATGTGTGTGTGAATGGTTAAGCAATTCCTTGTTTTAAAGTGCTTTGAGTCCCTTGAAGGTGGAAAAACGCTGTAGAAAAATGTGACCATTTACCATTTGAATCGCTTACTTTCAAGATGCCATATCGCCGATCTATCCCCATTGTCACTGCTCTGGGCATACAGCCACTGCTCTTTATTTACTTCATTACCTCCGCCAAGGAGGTTATGTTTTTGCCGGCATTTGTCTGTTTGTTTGTTTGTTTGTTTGTCTGTTAGCAACATAACTCAAAAAGTTATGGACCGATTTTGATGAAATTTTCAGGATTTGTTGGAAATGTGAAAAGGAAGAACTGATTTTCATTTTGGGGGTGATCCGGAAGAAATCCTGGATTCTGGATCACTTTGAAATTTTAGTTAACATTGTGGTAAATAGGGCCAAAAATTTTGTTTCTCAATATCTCGGTTAATTATTGACAAAACCCCATGAAATTTGACTCAGGGATGGACAATGGGATCCTCTTTCATATTCCAAAGGCTGATCCGGATCTGATCCAGAAGACTGATTTTATCGCAATTTATATAAAAAATGGGGGTAGTCCTTGGCGGAGGTCTGCGCTCTCTGAGTGCTTTTCTAGTTCTTCAATTTTATTTTCTTAATCTGTGATGTACATAGGATTCGGCAACTTCTCATTGCTATTATGATACAAAAAAAAAAATCTCCGCACTAGTGATTAGGGATGGGCATTCGATTACATTTTCTTAATTGATCATCGGGAGAATTAACAATCGATTATCGATTAATCATTAACGTTTTTTTATATAAAAATTTATCATAATTATTATTGCTAACTGCACTACTAATCTGCATAAATAAATTCAACTTTATGACATATAAACCGTGACCACTCTAAAACCACATCAGCCGTTTGACATTATGTGTTTAATGCAGCTTTGCGCAACTCTCACAGAAACGAAACTTAAAACTGCATCACTAATTTGCATAAATTAAGTGATGTTAAGTGAAATTAAGTTGTGCGCTGATGCGACACGACTCACACTTGTCCCGAACACAACAGAAAGCTTCTTGTACAAGTCATCGTTAAATACTCATTTGCGCTTCGGCAGGTTGCAGACTGTCTGTATCTGCTCGCTCCTTCTGAGTGCAGAGAGCTACATGTACGGACCCCTGTTTGGTCACGCTACGCACAGCAACCTACATTCGGTTTGTCGATTAAAATTAACGTAATCAATGAAATTCTTAATGATCAATTATCGATTAATCGACTAATCATGCCCATCCCTACTAGTGATACAGCTATCCATCAGAGGTGCTGACTCTTTGTTGTGATGATGTTTGCGGGAACATCAGCTTCCATTGTTCACCACATTTTTCTATCACAGACGTCAGCTTTTATTAAGTTGTTTTAGTTTAAATGTGCAAAATATAAGATAATGATTCATAAGTGTCATAGATTATAACTATATAGCAGGCTCAAGCACAGTCTTCTTTTACAAGCGCTTATGTTTTACCATACTGACTGTAAACCGGTGCTTTTGTTCTATGGGAATACCTGGGAAACCCCACTCCTTTGAATTGTCACAGCACTTTAGACAGCCTAGTATTTTTAAATCAGAGCCATAACTCTTGAATAAATCACGCTTGACTACTTCTTGTTGCGTTGTTGTTTACAAACTAGTCACGTCCCTGTGTCGATCTTAATAGAGCTCCAAAGTTTTGCCTTCATCATTGCATCAACCGCAATAATAATCACCGTCACTGGCTCGTTTCCATGCTGTTTGCTTGTGTAAGTATATCTGCAGCCCCCCTCACAGACCCAGACAGACGCGTGCTCATGAAGGAGGTGCAGTTTTAAATATAAGCGTGGGAATTCATTTATTTGGAGTGACATTTGGAGCCTTGGCGTAGCGTTATTGATTTGGACCAGCAGCTTTCACATAGGATTTTCTCTTAATAAAATGGATTTGTATATACGGCTCAGGCTCAGATTTTTTATTTTTTTATAAGAAAAACCAATTCACAGATTCATCGAGCTTACAGCAGTATACTTGTTCAGTCCTGGTGTGGTCCTCGTTTAGACCTGGTTTAGTCTTATCATAACACATATTTAGTTTATGGGGTCTACTACTTATGTGTTAATCTTGGTGAAGACCTGACCTGTTGTATTTTCTAGAACTACAATAACAAGTACTTTTCCATTGGTAACTAATTCTCGTAGTAGTCTTTGTAGACCAGCAGGTTTAGCCTACTAGACTAAACTAGACTACTACTACTACTACTACTACTGCTACTACTACTACTACTACTACTACTACTACTGCTACTATACGACGACTACTACTGCTGGTGCTGCTACTGCTACTACTACTACTACTACTGTACTACCACTGGTACTATACGACCACAACTACTACTACTATATGACTAATACTACTACTACTACTGCTGCTGCTACTACTGCTACTATACGACTACTACTAATACTACTGCTACTGCTACTACTGCTACTATATGACTGCTACTTCTACTGCTACTACTACTGCGACTACTACTACTACTATACGACTAATACTACTACTACTACTGCTGCTGCTACTGCTAATACTGCTACTATACGACTACTACTACTACTACTACTGCTACTACTACTGCTACTATAACTGGTACTACTACAACTGCTACTGCTACTGCTACTATACTACTACTACTAGTAGTAGTAGTTTAGTTTATTTTTACTAGTGCTATTATATGACTACTATTATTACTACTACTACTACTACTACTACTACTACTACTACTACTACTACTACTACTACTATTGTAGTACTAACTACTACAGTAATATTGGTACTGCTACTACTACTACGACTATAATATTGCTATTATTACTACTTCTGCTATAACTACTTAACTAATTCAATTACTACTATATATGCTGGTACTTCTACTCCTCTCTCCTTTGCCTTTAAATGTATTCCAAAACTGTGCTCTTAAAAATAATTAACTAAATAGTGACACAAAGACGATCCACCTCTATTCACACATTTGGCTATATTCTTTTTTTTAGTAGTAGTAGTAGCAGTAGTAGTAGCAGCAGTAGTAGTAGTAGTAGTTGTTGTTGTTTTATTATCCCTATAAGGAAATTGTCCTTTGCGTTTCACCCATCCTTTCAGGAGCAGTGGGCAGCACATGGGGTGTCCGGGGACCCGTCTCCATGATCTTGTTGCTAGACTTGGTCAGGACTGCCTTAGCTGGACGATTTTACCTATGGTGCATGTTTTGGGGTGACTCCAAACAGAAAGGCCTGGGCAACCTGGGGATCGAAACCAGAACCATCTCAGCTATCCACTCAGATTTCATTTATACCATAGGAATAATAAAGTGTGGTATTGACAGGCCTGGGTACACACTATACACATAAGTATTCAGACCATGCTACTCTTATTGTCTTATTGTCTTTATTGTGTCTGTGTTAAATGTTGTGATTTGTTTTTGTGCAGGTCTGGCGGTTGCTCTGCAGTTACTCCACGGTGATATAGACCAGCTGAGACGTGAATACATGGTGCTGTTTACTCGGGGAGTGTCCATCACAAGAAAACTGGGCTTCTCCGACGTTATTATGCCAGGTAAGACACACACCACATGGGAGGCACTGAAAAAGCAATGTCATCTGTTATAATAGACTTTCCCACCACTTGATTGTCTCCAGTGTTTTGCCAAAAATTGTCCACAGTCTGGCATTAAAGGGCCTGTATTGCACTATTTTTGGATCTATGTTGTAATGTTGTTTCCTCAGCACAAACATACTTGGAGTTGTGTTTTTTTAATGCTTCTCTCAAATAGAAAACACTGTTCCACCTTGGGATGTCATGTGGTAATACAGTAAGTGCTCCACTGTCTTTAAATTTCGTACTTGTTCTGTACAATCATTTGGATAATTTCAGACCTGGAATTGCCACTTTCTATTGAACAGGTAATGAAAGGTTAAAAAAAAGGCAGCTGTTAACTTGAAAACCACCACTACATGACATCACAAGGTAAAACAGGGCATTTTGTGCTTTACCATGAATACTCAAACATGTGTGAATGAACAGGGTAGCCACGGGGTCTTAAGTCTTCATGGTCTTAAATTTCATGTTCCTAAATTAAGGCCTCAAAAAGTCTTAAATGATGTTGTCCAAGTCTTTTTTTTTCACAAAGGTCTTAAATTTCATTAGCCTATTTTTTGTATACTTAACCAGGTTCCAGTGCAACATGAAATCACGTAACATCAATGAACGTCTAATTTGGAGTATACGCAATAACAATACTTTGGTTTCTGGCACTGGTGGCAATGAGTAAACAATCAGTACAGTGGAAGAAGACGTTGGATGGATCATGGGAAAGTGTAGGTTTAATCCACAGTGGCTCTTAGATTCTGGATATAGAAGTTGATTGGTCATTTTTAGAATTTGATCTGGAGTTTTTCGCCTGCATAATGGGTGCGATGTTGGTCTTAATTTTCATTTAAGTGGTCTTAAAAAGGTTTTTAAAAAGTCTTAAATTTGGGGTAGTCAAACCTGGGGATACCCTGATGAAACAAAACGCAACTCCAGGTCTGTTTTTGTGGAGGTAACACGATTATAACGTGACTGAAAGCTCACAAGAGTTGATTTTGTGTAATATAGGACCTTTAATTGAAGATGCACTTTGTGACTTTTCTACCACTCTCTCGTCTGCATTGCTTTGCCTAAAATTGTCCACAGTAGAGCATTAAACCTACTAATGTCAACAGAAGGACAGTAGGCAACCGCACCAGGCCAGATCTGTGGAGAGACAAGCCTGCTGTCAGTAAAAAGACTTGTGCAACTTTAAGATTCACTGTTTACATAAGGGATTATTTTTTGGTAAACACACCCACAGTCAGTAAAATGTAGCCTACTTATTTTATTTATTTCTTTGCTCTGCTCATTCATGCATATTTTATATTTATTGCTTATTGCTTATTTTTGCTTTTATAATGTAGCGAAGTTAGTCAAGGTTTCTTTCTTTTCATTTTCACTTTTCTATTGGCAATGGTTTCAAAATGTGGGTCAAGATTTAAAGCGTTTTCTCAAGATGTTATTCCAGATATATTAACTTAGTACTGCACCATACAGTGATAAGAATAATATTTAAGTTGGAAAGATCATATTTACCTTGGTTAGGGTATAATTTTTACTCATTTATATATGTTTGTTGTAATAATTCTCTAGATCTATTGTATATTTTGAGTTACTGTGTTCAAGTAGTTGTCTTGATGGGTCCATAGATCCAAGGTCTCACTCTTTTCTCTTTAGTCATTTTAAAAAGTTAATTTACGGATTTATCATAAACACTCCTTAAAAATGGCTTCTGGCTGCTTCTCTTCATGGAGATATTACCTAAAATGTTCCACAGTAAGGCATTACACTTATTTATCTCACGGAGACAGCAGGTGACACAGCAGGACCAAACTACATGTCAGACCTGTGGAGAGGCAAGCCCACTTACAGTAAGAATGTACATTTTTAAAACTACGTTTACACTGAAACAAATCACCGTATCATTGTATCGGAAAAGATTAGCATCCAGACTAGGGGTGGGCGATATCTCGATATTTTTAATATATCGAGATTTTTTAAAAACTCGATATGAATTCTGACATATCGTATATATCGATATAATGCTTATATTCAATTTTGATTTCGCCACTTTGCTTGTTTGTCTTCTCTGTCGCCGCCCGCGCGCCCCCGCCTCCCTGATTTTGTTCGCTCGTGTCTCATTCACTCCTCACTATCGCCGTGAACGCCGAAAGTTGCTGCCAGTGAAAAGCTTCTAGCGCCTCGAAACTTTTCCACCATTTACAGACAAAACCATCAGCAGCACATCCTCATATTCCACCGAGTCATGTCCTTTAGTCCAAAAGAAGTTGAACCGCATGAGCGGCACGTGGAGTGCGCTGTTTATGCAAATTAGCCATGCGCTTTTTAAGTTTCGTTTCTGTAAAATGTAAACAAGTCTGCGCAAAGCTGCAAAAAAACAAAAAAAAACATAAAATAAAAGAATTAACACTATAATCTCAAACGGGCTGATGTGGCTCTTGAGTCGTTATGCTGTATATCTTGTAAAGTTTAGTAATGTAAATTCTATTTATGTAGAAGATTTTAATTAATAATCTGTTGCAGTGTCACTTGTACAAAAGTGTTTGGAAACGTTGGGTTTGATCTGCAGTGGATTGTGGGAAACCTCATAGCTCCTTACTGCTGGATAGGAACATGGATCTGTTAAAATAAGGAACATCCTGAGCTTCTTCTGTTAAAAGAGCTCATGGTTCTGATTATGGTTTGGATAACAGAGTTAATGCAAAGAGCTTGAGTTGAGTTGTTTTATTTATGAATGAAACAAAGGAAATATGTTTTATTTCTTTTATTTTACAGTTAAATTATTATTTATGTAATTAGGGTTTTTTGTAATCTTAAATGTTCCTATATGAACTGCCTACCTTTTACACTTTAATTTTTAAAAAAAGGACCTTGTGGAATTTGGCATATTTGTTTTTGCAGTTTTCCATTTTAGGGGGTTATTTTTTCCTGTACAGATATCGGGATATGTATCGTATATAGAGATATAGCAAAATATATCGAGATATATTTTTTGATCCATATCGCCCAGCCCTAATCCAGACACATTGTTTCTGTGTCCACAAGCCTTCACTATCCATACAGCTTTGAGCATATTGTTTACGTTTTACAGAAACAAAACTTAAAACCGCATGGCTAATTTGCATAAACTAAGCCGCTCAAAAAACAGCCTGCTATTGTGCGCTGATGCGGTTCAGCTTCTGTCGGACTAAAGGACACGACTTAGTGGGTTATATGTGTTCTTTCTGTGACAGAGGGATGTTTTGATGGTGAGTCTGTTCTGTTCTTCTATAGCGTTGGAGATGGTTCATGTTAAACTTTTCAGAGATTATACTGTATGTCTGCAGATTATATGCATAGATATATATGTATATAGTATATATGAATGGACATATATTCTAGCCTCTTAGTGTTTTGGCAGTGAATTACTTTGCGTATCAGCATATCATCATATCAGTGTTGTCAGGTGTCCACACAGTGCCAGATCAGATCTATACCCAAATGAATTCTTGGGAGCTGGTGGCACCATATCGTTCTGTCTCTGGAGCCGTTTTCAGTCGGGTTAGTGTGGACGAACACTGCACCCACAACAAAAATGACTCAAATACGTACTAGTGTGGTCGGGGCCTAAGTTAAGAAAAACCCATGTTGTTGAGTAAAGGCAAGATGGATACGTTTAATGCCATGCTGGGATATTCCAAAAATAACAAAACATTAATCAAAACATCTCTATGGAGACAAGTGGGTAGTGAACCCTCCATCAGAAAAGTTATACAGTTCACCTTTAACATTGAGCAAATATCTGTATTTGTCCTACATTTAGGAAAAAAAAAGAAAAAAAAGTCCTTCCATTTCGATAGACGATGCATTCCTCAGACATTTTTCTTGCTAAATGACAGAGCCCCCCTCAGGGCTTGACGTGGTTGCTATGGTAACTAATACAGTACCATTTAAATGGGAGATGTTGCAGACGGCTTGAGCATACTTTCGTCTGCTTGTATTTACATATATAGTACAGTGGTGGGTGTAAAATGCAGGTTAAGTGAGCCACCTATCCCTGTTGGTAGAGAGAGACAGAACAGGGGCAGTTCTTGTTTGGGTCTGTGAGGTTTTCTGTGTGGTTAGACCGATAAAGAGGAAACAGTGACTCCAGCTCCCCCCAGCTCCTAACTAAGACAGATTTATGTCCAGCGTCTAGAGTCTTTGTCTGTGTCTGCCCATAAAAACCTCTCACCCAGCCCGTCTGTGGAGCTCTGCCCTTGGGCTAAACATCTCAGCTCTCCTCCCTGTTTTTTTTTGCACAATTTTTTCTCTCATTTTCTCTGGATTTGCACCAAAACAGAGGCAGATTTCCTGTTCATGCCTTCTCCTTTATTTTCTTACTCTTTTAGCTTTACTCAACATTTTAAAATAATGTCAGATGGGCAGGAGCCTGTATACTTTATTCTATGAGATTTATTGTATAGAATAAAAAAAAATAAATGTAATAATAATAACAATAATAATAATAATAATAATAATAATAATAATACAGCAGTAAAGTTTAACATGCATATTTCCTGTTCATGACTTCTCCTTTATTCTTATTTTAGCTACTTGCATCTATATGCATAATTCTTTGGGGAATTCACTGTTTTTGAAAGAAATAACTAAACTGAAAATCCACAAATGTTGAAACTTTTTAAGCATGTTTTTGTTAAGAACTCCCATTTTAATCTTGTGGCTTAATGTCCTTTGAGCTGACAGCGACTGAACCTCTGTTTTTAAATAATGAGTAATAACATTTTTTATTTTAATTAAACTAAATCCTTATTTCATTTAGGCTAATTCATTTGGATAGGCTTAGCAGTAGCAGAGATATTCAACAACCACAAAAAGGCAAAACATTTACATTTGAAAAGTGAAAAGGCAAATTCTACTATAGATTTCTGCCCGCCCTCCACAGTTTTCAACTATGGGCAGATTAAATAAGAACACAACTTATTCTCACTTCCTTTTACACAAAATGAGGCTATAGGCACTCCCCTTGTTTTTGCCCTTCAAATTATACATATAAAATATCCTACACACTTTCATACATTATGCAAAAAAACAGCTAACTACAAAACTCATATTACATTTGAGGTAAAAAAAAAAAAAAAGAAAAGAAATATATGCATATATTATTTTTTGTTATCTTTTTCCATATCTATGAGCTTCAGAGTGATTAAAAACTAGCAGTGTTGCTATGGAAATTAACAAAAATATTATATGTTATTACATCTTTTTGGTGAAAAGCTGGAACCTGTGAACATAGTGACTCAGTTTTTTTTGTTTTTTTTACTATATTTAGTCATGACTTATGTATCTTCACCAGTTTTATTCCTTTTTTGTAAATAGGCAATAGGTTTTAGATTACATATAGGCTACAGTAAGGCCTTTAATTAGATCACAAATATGTAGCAGAATTATTAATATGACTTTCTTTTGCATTGTCCCTTTAATAAACAAATACAAATACAATACAATACTTTAAATGCACATTAAAAGTTGCCTTGGATCCAGAATACACACTTCATCAGTCTCCCAGTTTTCAGATGGGCATGACTGACAGGTGGATTAGCCAGTCAGGAACATGCATGGTCTGTCCTATCAAAACAAATATGGCTACTTACGAGGAAAAAATTAAGGATCTAAAATCACAAATTTGATCTTGTTTGTAAATTATAGTTGACCAGTGACCAGTTGTTTCACATGTATCACTGAAACATTTATTATTATATTTTGTATTTAATTAATTGTTTAATTAATTGTGTTTTGTTTCCTCTCCTCACATAGCAGCTCCAGCTATTCAACCCCTACTTCCTTTATTTCCTATTGTACATTACACGCCCCTCCCATGTTTTTTTCCCCTTCACAACAATACGGCTCATGTCTAAACCTTTTGTACAGTAACAACAATATACAAAGCTTGCGTTTCCATGGATACACATTTGAAAAGGGGAAAATCAGTGTTGACCCTGGAGATGCAGAGATATGATGGGCCAGACATGTGCTCACTGGGGCAGTATGGAGACGAACCCACTTTACAACTCTGTCTGACCGCAGCTTTGGTTGCTCCGGAAACAACCCCATCCTTGTCTTTAGCTTACCCACAATGCATTGCACTGTTTTCACTTCCTCTTCGGGGAGAAATAACGGTGTTCTGTTTGTGTTTTGGAACTATAACGCCATTTGCTTCATTGTTTTTCGGAGGAGGCTAACATGAGGATCTAAAAATAGTTTTCCTTGTGCAAATAATGTTTGAAAAATTGAAGAAGTTGTGGTATTCTGTGAATAAAGAGAAGATAAGTGCAGTATATAGATACAATGTGTATACTTGTATTATATAAGAAACATTTTGAGCATTAATTTAGTTCTAATGCTTAAGTTAATTACTAAAAGATAACATTAAAATAGGTCATAACTAATAGGTATGTTACTTTGTTGTATCACAGCCCTGAATAAATGAAAAGATAATTACTAAAAAAAATAAACCTAAAACTTACAGTAAAGGTGCACCAGAAAACTCTTCTGATAGAGTATCTGCCACTTACTTGTCTCCATGTAGATGTTATTACTTATGTTCCATATTAACAGGCAGACTGGCGCCACCTAGTGCCTCCAGAATACACTAGACGGTTCGCAAAAACCTCGGAAGTGTGAGTTCGGGCACCAGCCAATCAGCAAAGAGCTATACATTCTGTGTTGGCAACGATTCCTGAGATCGAGGATTTAAAGCTGAAACAAAGAGAATGTTTAGTGAGTTTTATCAAGGAGAAAGATGTTATTGCCTTTCTTCCTACGGGATTTGGGAAAAGCTTAATATACCAGTTAGCCCCGTTAGCGGCGCATTACATACGTCAACCAAATATCAGCAATTGGTTAAATGATAAAAAGTACCCACCTACCGCCGAGCAAACGAATTCTAACGCTGTGAGGTCAGATGGTTTCTACAAAGTGAAACTGGCTGAGGAATCAGGCGACCATATTATAGCATTACACACATCTATTGTCATGGAAACAGGTGGAACCACACGGCCAAGACACATCTGTGGAAAGCCGACCTCACTAGTAGAATGCACATTTTTCATGTGTGTGTTTTTAAAGCCTGTAATTAAGTTAAAGCTCAATAGGTTTAATACTGCACTGTGGATCATTACTGGCAAAGCAATACTATTTCCATAAAGACATCCGTGTTGTGGAATCCCAGGAAAGTTACACAGCGCATTTTATTCAGCATAATAAACTGAATGCAATCCAAATTGACATAAAATGCCATATTGTAATATTTTAACCTGTACTTACATGTAAAGTGTCCATGCAATTACCCTTTTCAATTGAACATGCATACAGGTCCAAACCTTGACCCACTCTTCATTGAACACATCCTCTGTAAATGTAAATCGGGTTCATCCCTGTCATGATAAATTACACAGTAAACTGAAGCCAAGGAAAGATCATTAATAATGCTTTCTTATCTGCGTAACATCTGCTGACCTTTTGGGTTCTTGTGGTGCAGGCGAGATGAGAAATGACCTTTATATCACTCTGGAGAGGGGCGAGTTCGAGAAGGGAGGAAAAAGTGTTGCCAGGAACGTGGAGATTACAGTGTACGCTCTGGACATCGATGGACAGATACTCAAGGTAAGAATATAAAGGTTTTACAGAAATCAATATATGCTGTAGACTTTGGATACTGTCTTTATTATGCACCGTTTTGCTTAGACAACAAGAAATTTATCTTTTTAGGCAGCACTTATAGGGCCTATATTATGCTGATCTAGGATATAAATAATCTTGTTTCCTTATTGCAGATACAGCTGGAGTTGTGTTTTGTTTCATTCACATGTTTAACACACAATACTGCATATCTAGACTGTATTCTTCTCTCAAACTAAAAAAAAAAAAAAACTCAGGAAAGGCTCCACTATGTTTTTAAACTCCATACACCTTCACTAGAATAATATGGATAATTTAAGACCAAGAATTGCCACTCTGTCTAAAGTAAAAGGTAGCTGTTAACTTGAAAACTACCGCTTCACAAGGTGGAGCAGATAATTTTGATCTTGAGAGATGTAGGCTGAATATAAAGGATTACTAGCCATGTGTGAATAAAACAAACACCACTCCAGTTATGTTTTTGATGAGGAAACAACTTTCTAACATGGCTACAAGCTCACAAGAGTCAATTTTGCATAGTACCTTTAAGGATGGGTCAAACAAAAGTATACTGATTTATTGCAGTAAAAAGAAAAAAATGAGCAGGAGTAGACCATGACTAGACCAAAACTAAACCAAGACTAAACTAGAACTAAACCACACCTAGAACAGGGCCAAACCAAATCTACACAAGGGCCAAATTGGGCTCAAACCAGGACAGAGGTACACGCACCTAAAAATGTAGTATTTTTTATTCACTGTGTGTCACTTATTTAAAGCAAAAACTGAAATCCACTGACCCAGATGAGAAGTGAGCGCCTCCCCGGTGTATTTCGGTGCAGCTCTGTGACAGACTCGCTGTGTGGTTTTCCTGTACTGCTTCGGCCTTGGACAGAAAATAGACTCAGAACCCTACGCTGCTGCCCGCCACATGGCACGCTCCCTAGTAACGCCCCTAGTAACGCATGTAAACACACAAATGAAAAACTACGCCGCGCTTTCTTTCTTGGTATTGCTGGTTCATGCATGGAAGGCCCCAGTGTGTTTTTAATATATTCCTGTCACATTAATTCATTGTGCTGCTGGTCACATCTCCCACCTCCTGTATTGTGTAGCCCTCATTTCCTTTTCACTTCCTGTCTTTTCTCTCCCAGAATGCACCTGTTATGAGAATGCTGGTTATTCTGCATGTCTATTATTGACCACTGACAGTTTCATTGTTTGATTTTGTAACTTTCTGTTGGTGAAATCAACAGTTTTGTCCTTTGAGGTGACTGATGTTTTGGTTTTAAGGTCTACAAAAATAAATTGAAGTGGAATGAAACCTGACCACGACCCAAGGGCTGTCTGTTAAAGCTCTAATTTAGACCTGTGGTGGTACGAGCTATGGCCACTATGCATGTTTTATTAGGTCTCTAGGACTTTGGGTCTGTCAGAATGCAATGGATAAACGCTATAATGTCAAATAAAACAGAAAACCCACCCTAAGGTAAATGTGTTTATTGACCTGCCAGGACATTCAGTCTGAAAAGTGAAGGCAAATTCATTTTTACTATATTTCATTTTTAATTTCAGCATTAGAAAACGTTTTTGCTCTACAATAACAAAGTACGGTTACTTGCTTATTGTAGACATTACTCACACTGGGGATAGTAACCAACTTTTACACTATAAAATAAATTACTAGGAAATAAGAGTAAAGTTATGGTGTCACAAAACTGCTAAAAAAAATGAAAGAGAAACTGCATTGAAATGTGTACAGTAGACAACAATTGTACTGTTATTTTCAAAATAATAGTACACATCGCACACATTCTAGTAATTCCAATGAATAGCTCTTGTTTCTTTTCGACTTTGCTCACAGTGGGAATGGCAACCAACTTTTACACTATAAAAGAAATAACTCAAGTAGAAGTAAAGGCATAGTGTCACAAAACCACTCTGTGATTTTAGGCTATACAGAATAAATTGAATTGAAATTGAACTGACCCTGTTGGCCGACTTTGTTTCTGTGTCTCTTCCTCTCAGAGTCAGGTGGCGGCTGGGTCAGGAGAACCAGGAGCAGACGAGTACCACTCTCTGGTGCTGTACCACAACAACAGCCCCCGCTGGGCAGAGCAGATCAAACTGCCCATCCCTGTGGACATGTTCAGGGGATCCCACGTCCGCTTCGAGTTCAGACACTGCTTCCAGTAAGTGCCAGTCTATGAGTAAGGACTGTTGCTGTAAAATATATCCACAGTTCTTAAACTTTTCACACCATGTGTCAGCGTACACAATATTTTACCTTCCTGGCTTCACAGGATATTTCTGATTCTTAAAAATGCTTTGTTTTGAGTTATTCATTCACTCCACACTTGGTGATGATAAGCCTTTCCTATAGCCACAGCTGCCCTAAGGTACACTGATGGAAGTGTGCCTGCCAATCTGCGCCACCTGCCCCTCTTATCATCACCAAACGCTTACTTTCATTTAGATTACAAAATGCTTTGGTGGGGAAAAAAAAGTTCTCTATTTTTATTGGGAATGCTATGGTTAAAGTTAAATTATAAAGGGAAAAAATATACATAAAACACTCGCACAGTTTTTGCTCTTCAGATTATACATGAAAAATATCCTACACACCGTCATACATTGTGCAAAATAGCAGCTAACTGCAAAACTCATATTACATTTGAGGTAAAAAAAAATGTATGTAATATATGCATATATTATTATTATTTATGTTTTTTTTATATATGTATGAGCTTTACAGTGATTAAAAACTAGCAGTGTTGCCATGGGAATTAAAAATATTAATATAAATATTACATATTTTGACTGGTGAAAAGCTGGAACTTATGAATATAATGACTCAGATTTTTTTTGATGACGATAAGCCTTTCCTATAGCCGCAGGTGCCCTAGGGTAGACTAATGGAAGTGTGGCTGCCAATCTGCGCCATCTGCCCCTCTCATCATCAGCAAACAGTTACTTTCATTTAGATTTACAAAATGTTTTGGTGGGAAAAAAAAGTTTTGTATTTTTATTGGGAATACTATGATTAAAGTTACATTGGAAAAAGAAAAAAAATACATAAAATAAAATAAAATAAATATAAACCAGTGTTTCTCAACCTGTGGTATATGTGCAATTTGCTGAATTTAGAGCCAATTTAATCCACAGTTTGTCTTCCTGTGTTTTGAATTAGTATAGTCATTGTAGTCCTATTGTAGATATGGCTTAGCCCCAGTTTCGACCTAGACCTCGAATAGTCCTGTTTTAGATCTGGTTTAGTTCTTGTTATTGGTCAGATATTTTATTTGGAGGTACTTGGTGTGAAAAGATTGAGACCCACTGAGAAACATCAATACATTCTGTACTGAAAGAATGGAGTTGTATTCTCACCTGATTTAATATTTTTAACTTTTTTGTTTGAATGGATTTTGAGGTGTACTAGCATGTTCATGGTTCATTAGCAAAGAGAGCAAACTGAGAAGCACACAGCAATGTCAAAAGCTGAAGTCAGTTCCCATTTGAAAAATAGCTTACAAGCTTTTTACGAGACTTTGTAAAACTTCTAACCTGCTAATGACCTAAAACTATAATTATGGACTGGCTTTTGCACCCTTACCTGCGCTCTATATTTCCAGGACTTCAGGGAGCAGCCCCGAGACTCTGTTCTCTCATAACAAGCTCATATTATTCTGCTATTTGCACCAGAGCCACGAGCCTTGTGAATGTGTGCAATAGATATAGCAGCCTTATTACTGCTGGCAGTGCTGGCACCACGACCCAAGGGCTGCTTATTAAAGCTCTAATTTAGGCCTGTGGTGGTACCATCTATGGCCACTGTGCATGTTCTATTAGGGCTCTGGGACTTTGGGTCTGTCGAAATGCAATGGGTAAACTCTGTAATTTCAATTAAATCTGAAAACCCATCCAATTTGAATTTATTGGTCTGGTTAGAAGTCCAGGGTTGAACTGAATTATATTGACCAAATATATTATATAGTTTTATTTGTTATGTACAGGCAAAGGCTAGAAATTGGTAGAGTAGCCAACAATTGCACAATAGGCAATCTAAAACAATAGTACGCTAATAAAAGTAAAAAAAGTTGTAACCCAAATGATTACTCAAGGAACGGTAAAAAGCAATGAAGATGTTATTGCTTTGTCTGGCATTTTTCACAGTATGGCATTAAACCTTACTTTCCTCTCTGAGGCTAAACCAGGCCAAGTTACTGGTCAGGTTTTTGAGCAATAAAAACACCTGTAATTGAATAAATTTTAGGTAGAGCAGTTTAATGTCATACTGTGTAGCATTCAAAGCAGAGCAATGACATATCCATAGAAACGAGGAGGTGACGGACTCCCAACCCAAAAGTTCCATTGTGCACCTTTAAGAAACACAGTGTCAACTTGTAAACTTAACTCACAGTGGGAAAAGTATTGAAGAGCAAAACTGTTATACTGTTATTATATTTTACTCAAGTAGGTTTTAACATATGGTGTAGAGCTCTGCACCCGACGCAAAACAGTTCAGCGCGGGAGACGTTTTGAAAGCTCATTGCGGGCATGGGTGGGAGGGATGATAAACTGCAGTCTCACAAACTAAATATGAGTGTAAAGTAAAATATACAAATGATTAAAGTGTGTCTGTCATACATCATTTGTGCTGGATATTGTATTTGGCATTAATAAAAACATTTTAAGCAGCCTAAATTTGCAGACGTGGTCTAATCTCGAGCACATTTTTGACAATTTCTTTCTGCTTCTCCGTGTTTGATGGAGCTTAAGAAAGCGAATGTCCCCATCTTGTGGGATTTGCGGGCGGGAGCGGGACAAGGTATCGCAGATGTGGGAGGGAGCGGGACTGCACAATGTGGGTGCAGGCGGGAGCGGGACTTTAAATTCTGTCCCGCACAGACCCCTAATATGGTGCAAGAAAATTAGCCAGGCTGGCGCCACCTAGTGCCTCCACTCAATTTAATTTTTCTCCAGCAATTAGGTCAGGAATCAAAAAACACTAGACGGTTTGCAAAAACCCCGGAAGTGCAAGTTCGGGCAGCAGCCAATCAGCGAAGAGCCATATATTCAGTGTTGTCAACGATTCCCAAGATTGAGGATTTAAAGCCAGAAAAAAGAGAATGTTTGGTGAATTTCATCATGGGGAATGGTCATTGCCCTTCTTCCTATTGGATTTGGGAAAAGCTTAATATACCAATTCGCCCTGTTAGTGGCACATTGCATACGTCACGACCAAATAGCAGCGATTGGTTAAATGATAAAAAGTACCCACCTACCATCGAGCAAACAAATTCTAACACGGTGAGGTCAGATGGTTTCTACGAAGTGAAATTAAGAGAAACCGCCTGATGAATCAGGCTATAAGAAAACTACTCTGCAAGGATAAATTTCTTCAAAAAGTTACACGATATCTAGGGATGCACTGATCCGATACTGGGTTTGATATTGACGCTGATACTGAAACATTTGGTCAACTGCATATCGGCTACCTATATCGGTTCAGCCAATATCCTGGTTGAAAATATAAATGGATGTAATAAGACCATTAGTGGTTATAGTCAAACCAGAAAGTCTCGTAACGTTTGAACTGTCACACAACGCTGTTCTGTAGTTACTTTAGAGATAAATAACAGCTACATTTGGATCAGGTTGTCTCATTTGATTTTTGTTTCAAGGAAATAAATGCTGTTTTCAGTTTGTGCGTTGGTATCGGTTTATATCTGGGATTGGCAGATGCTCAAAGCTACAGTATCAAAATTAGTATCGAAAGTGAAAAAGCTGAAACGCCGCATCCCCATCGATAACTGAGCAAATGTAACTGACATCTACCCACCTCTGTATTTCAAAGCACAACAGTCTTTTCAATAATACAGTATATTCACGCTCTCACAGGATTTGTACGGTTGCATTTCACACCACTTGAATCTCCTCTTATCTCTCTTCACCTGGGGCTCTGTGATTTTATCTTTTTAAGTTCAGACCTACCCGAGACAAAGCATCTTTCATGGAAGCTGATTTCTGGTGATGCAAAAATGTATTACAAGTTCTGATACAACTTGTGGCTGTCTCCCGGGGGCTAAACAACACACTGGGTAAATGAACACCGCTACGGCAAAGAATTGGAAATGTGCTTCGACAAGAGGGCCACTGTCACATCCTGCTGTGCCCACATTAGCATAGCGCACAAACAGCAGAGGAATCAGTTAGCTCCTTTTCATGATCGACTTACAACTCGCCAGCCAAATTATACCCCTGTTAGCGGAACGCGTAATTGATTTTAGAAGCTTGATCTTGATGAGTTTTTTTGTTGTTTTTGGTGGTTTTCTACGCCGCTAAAAATGCGCTGAGTTACAGAGAGAGTGTAATTATTTTCCCATAACATCAACGCGAAGAGAAGTTGCTGTTTGTGATGTTAATAATGCACAGCCAGGCTCATTTACACAAGCCATTAGTGAAAGCTCTATTAAGAGTTCATATAGTTGGGATTTAAAATAACCCCATGTTTAGTATTGATTAAACATTGTTAATGCATATTTATCATACTGTTGTAGCTGATAATATTTACAGTTTTGCATTGGCCAGACACTCAGTAATTAAATAAAAAAAATAAATAGTGTGTAGTAATGTTATGTAATTATTTCTAAGTAGATGTGAGCTATGGGAGTATGACTTTTCAAATGCTGTTACAAAAATACTAGTAAAATTTGAATATCACTTTTACATCAAAATGATTTTCAGTAGATACATTTTTACTTGATTTAAAAATAAATTAATAAAGGAAACAACAAAGGTATAGCCATTTTTGTGTGTGTCTTTGTGCTAGTGCCTCTGCTCAATTTCATTTCTCTCCAGCAACTAGGTCAGGAATCAGAATACACTGCAAGAACCCCTGAAGCTGTAGAGCGTGCACCGGCCAATCAGCAAAGAGCTGTGAAGCCATGACGTCAAACTCAAGCACCTGTCTGGGTCCCTTTTGTGGAACAGCACAACAGTAAACAAAGCAGTCGAGATGGATGTAGATGAAGCCCAACATTCTGTGTTGGCAACGATTCACGAGATCAAGGATTTAAAGCCGGAACAAAGAGAATGTTTGGTGAATTTTATCAAGGGGAAAGAGGTTATTGACCTTCTTCTTACGGGATTTGGTGCATTACATACGTCATGACCAAATAGCAGCGATTGGTTAAATAAAAAAAACTACCCGCCTGCCATCAAGTGAACGATTTCAGCTGATGAATCAGGCAAAATTTTTGAGCCCGTTTAAGTGGAATAATTGAACCAAACATTTGATGGCACATTTGAGGAGATTTTGAATTGTTAAAAAAATTATAATAATTTTAAAAAACTGTACATTTTTTACTGCTATCCCTACCACTATCCTAGTTTTTGTCTCTTTCTGAAATCAAGGAATTACTTTAGATGCCACCATATGTAACACCACACCCTGATTTGTTGACATTTACCATAATTTGACCTTTTGACATATTATTATTATTATTATTATTCCCAGTATTAAATTGTTCTATAGCAGACGTTTGGTATCTGACCTTGTATTTCTGCCTTATTGTTTGACAGCTAAAGACAAGGGGGAGAAGAAGCTGTTTGGATACTCGTTTGTGCCTCTGATGCAGGAGGACGGCCGGACGCTTCCAGATGGAACCCATGAGCTCATTATACACAAGGTAAGAGCAGCTCCTCAGCACAGGCTCTGGCTCTGATACAGAAATCATGCAGCCCTTTCACAAAGTCCTTGAATATAAGAACAATAGATCACACAATGTAGTTATTTTTGCTTGTTTTTGTTCCTTGCTTCTTTGTGTTTGTCTGTGATGTGTGTTCCTGGTGAGTTCTTTACAAACTCATCTAAATTGATTTACAAAAGATGAGCAGGCAATTAAATATGCTTTATGTCGCCTTTCTGGTTGTTTGTCTGCATGGACATGTGATTGTCAGATCTGTGGAAAGATGACCTCCCAAACAGTAAGAATGCTATAAAATGTCTGTAATTGATTAGATGGAAGATAGAGAACGTTAGGGTTGGGTATCATTAAGAAGTTGCCGATACGATACATACCGCGATACAGCTTACATTTCGATACGATATATTTCAAATCGATTCGGTACAGTTCAGTAAAAATAAAGGCAAAGTCATGACTGTGATACTAAGTCTTTGTTAAATCACTTCTTGTGCAAAGTTCATATAAAATACACTCATTTTAATACTCAAAACTTTGAAAATGTCAAATGTGTCGCATAAAAGAGTTTTCTTCCACTAAACAAGCAACAAAACTCTAGCTGTAACAAAATAATTGAGTAAAATATACCAAAAATACTCTTGTTGATATATCGATACAAGAGTCACCAATATCGATACTATATCATCAAATTAAACAATATGATACATCGATATTTCAATATTTTTGCACAACTTTAAATAAGGTTAATGCCATATTGTGGAAAAATCCAATCAAGGTGATGGAGAAATACAAAAAAAAATAAGAGGACATCTCTACCAGAAAAGTCGCATTGTGCAGCTTTAAGGCCATTGAAATTCTGTGTGTGATCATTGATTGTAATTGATTGATTAATTTATTTCAGTCACAGGTGTATTCTGACATTATTTCACAGACAGTCATATTTAACACACACAAACTGAAAAGGTGTAGGCTGAAGCTTGAGCTTATTCTGCCTTCACCCTTTATTCCTTTGTCAGAGCGTCATCTTGACACCAGTTCAACAAACAAATCAGTAACAGTACAACAAAGTACTACAACACAAACTATCATAATTCATGTATCTGCCCAGAATTAAACATTTAAACTTCTTTATAAAGTGGAAGAGAGTGGTGCACAGTTTTAGGTCTTCTGTACAATTATTCCAGAGCTCCAACGCCCTTAACAGGTATGTACAAAATTTCATAATGTTCGTTCTGATTTTCTTTTGGATAAACATGGCCGTACCTCTGAGCTCATATTGGCTGCTTTGGATTTTGAACATATTCTGTTATGATTTTGACAAGAGATTGAGAGATTGTCGTTTACTTAGAACATGATTTTCAAAGTGTAAAGGTCGACTAAATCGTAAACTTTCAGAGTTTGAAGGTTTATAAATAATGCATTGGTTGGTTCATTGTAAACTGATAATGCGGTTGCTCTTATTGCCTTTTTTTGCAGGGTAAAGACTGGATTTGCATTACTCTTATATGTATTTCCGCAAATCTCAGTGCAGTAGGTTTTGTAGGCCGTTACCAGCGAGTCATATATAATAAAAAATCAGATCAGTTTGTTTGCTAAGGTGTTAAATGTAAGTTGATAGGACATTTTACATCTCAAAATAAAAAGAAACATCATCCCTAAAATAAGTGAGACCTAGATCCAGTCCAGAATCTAAAATGATAAAATATGTCTTAAGTAGGAAAGTAACATTTTTGGACCCTTCATGTTAACACAATTATTTAAAAAGCCCTTCAAGCTTGAACCATAACAGCTTTGATAGTTATAATGTAGAGTTTAGCCTAATAACCACTCTGCAGTTTTTACGTCACCTCTGTCTATGTGGTCCAGTCTGGTACAGCGCATCATTAAGTGAATCGTGTGTTCTCAAAGGCACAGTGCAGCCATTCTGTTATTACTCTGTTGTTCTTGTTTGTGCATCTGCAAAACAAGCCCACTGAGGTCATATTACCAGGTTGTCAGACTTAAAGATGCACTATGTAACTTAATTTGGTACTTTTGTGTCGCCACGAGGCTGTTATCACTTTGCCAAGAATGATAGATATAGAGCTGGGACATATAGAGGAAAAAAACAACAACATAATGATCAGTCTTAATTAGGGGTGTAACGATATCCAAGTCTCACAATACGATATCGTCACGGTATGAACCTCGGTACGATATTTATTGTGATATCATGGAAAAGCTCACGATATGGTGGGGAGGCTCACGATTAGGGATGTAACAATATCCAAATCTCTCGATACGATATTTTCAAGATATACATCTCATGGTACGATATTTATTGCGATATTTTGTAGAGGAATATGATCATTTTTTCTCTTAAAATGCCTTGATAAGACTTAATCCAAAGAACTAAGACTTAAAAGTGCTTAGAATTGTTATTACTTCATGTAGTCTACACTGAAATGGAGCAAAGGATCATGGTCTATGCAGTTCCCTCTGTCTTTTTTTTTTAGCTATTGCTGCACCATAACTTTTCATTTAAGCAAAGAGACTTTAATTCGATATATTGTAACTATAGATATATTTTAACTTTGACAATACAATGTCGCAATATTCCGGTTATTGTTACATCTCTAGTCTTAATGTTTGATTCGAGATTTCGAGACATAGAAAGCAGAGGGTCAGGGTCACTACATTTTTTGAGCACCGATAATTCCAGAGAAATACACATTTAAATTTTATACAATAGATTAAATGTCCTATATTATGCAAAATGTATTCTCGTGAGCTTTTGGCCATGTTATAATGCTGTTACCTCATCAAAAACATACCTGGAGTTGTGTTTTGTTTCATTGACACATATTGGAGTTACCTTTTTTCTGTCTACATCTTCAAAGCTCAAAATGGCCTATTCCACTCCAGTTTTGAAGTTAATAGATACTTTTTTACTTTTAATTTAGTAGATATTGGCAATTCTAGGCTCTACTTAAACCGATATATGTCATGATTAAAAGGTTCTTGTCTTGTTGCAGTGTTTATCAGTCCGCCATTTCCGGAATAAAGTCCATAACAAGTGATAGTTTACTGATGTGTCTCATGCAAATGTTCACAGTTTTTCTCTCAGACATCTTTAGATAAAAGTAATCCTGTGTGAATTTGGCTTAATTCTAAACCAGTCATTTTGAGGGCAAAACACTGCTAAATGCTAAAAGTCATATATATATATATATATATATATATATATATATATATATATATATATATATATATATATATTGTACTTTTAAAATATCACTAGACAGACATCTTATTATTTGAAAAATGTTTATTTATTCATTTTCATTTCTTATTTTTAAAGATGCGGGGTGGCATTGTTACCTCGGTGCATCCTGTCACTTCCCATGCTGCTGTCTGGAATATAAAATATGAATCAAATTTCAGTTATGGTAATGCATCATAATTCAATATACATACCTTTGTCCTGTCAGAGAAGAATATCTCCAGGGAGTTGACAGATGTTCCTTCATGTGCAATTTTGTCATAAGCTATGCCATTGGTCTTGCACAGTTCCTTAAGCACTTCATCATCACCACGAAACTTCAGTTTTTCATTGTGGCTCATGATGGTCAGAGCAGTGGAGGATTTTACTTTTCAACCCTGTCCAAAGGTCTGTAAATAAGCTGCATATTGCTTCTTGTTTTGGTAACTTAGCGGAATTCAGTTAAACTGCTGAGAGAGCTCAAGAAATATGTCTGCTTCGGTCAACTGTCCTGTAGAAATGAACTTAGTGGAGCACCTTCCTACAGCTTATAAAGGTCAGGATAGAATTCTGAAACATGACATCAAAGGCTGTCATGGAGATATGCAAATTAGGGGCTGATAAATAAAGAAAGCATTTTTTAAAATTTTTTTAATAGGGTTAGCCCGATCCGATGCGGACTCGATCCGAATTCTACTCTCGTTGGGCATATGTCATAGCTAAACCAGTAATGGACTGGCTCCCTCCAGTTCTGCGCGTTGATCTCATCTCACTCCTAGCTGGATTACTGTGTTTTGTGCTTCTTATCTGGGATGGATTTGTAGCTGAGATGCTGTGGGGTCTCATCTGCAGCAGTCAATGAACTGTCCTGTCCTTGGATGAGGTTCTGCAGCCCTCCGCTCATGGTGGTTATGGTTCTTAAAGTGTTGCGTGACATAAGTGGCAACAGTCCGGACAGGTTTATCTCAGTGCTGAACTGTGGGCATGGCGAGGACTCTGTGTTGAGCAGCTCGGCTCTGGTCCTCTCCTCTACAGTTATGACTACTCCATCCAGAATCTGCAGCTGTGACAGGCGCAGAACCACGGCTGCTCTGTACACAGAGCTACGGGCCACAGGGTTGCCGGTCACACAAAGTTCTGTCAGTGAAGGGAGGGCTTCTAGTTTCTCCAACTCTGCAGTATCCTGCAGCTTGTTGGAGTCTAGGGAGAGCTTCCGTAGCTCTGTCAGGTGCTCCAGGTGGCTGAGCTCGCGGACACGGTTCTCTGACAGGGAAAGTTCTAAAAGTGCACCCTGCCCAGTAAAAGAGTTCTCGGAAAAGACTTTGATTAGATTTTTGTCCAGCACTAGTTCTCTGAGAAGGTGGAGTCCTTCCAGTCCCTCTACCTGGCTGATCTCATTACCTTGAAGAAAGAGTGCCTTCAGATTGGTGAGCCTGCTGAGCTGAAGATTGGCCATATTGGAGATGCCATTGTGACTCAAATGCAGCTCCTCCAGACTCCCCATCAGCGGCTCCAGGCTGCCAAAGGGTACAGCTTCCCCGTTGCTCTTGGTCTGTCTCTGCTGGCCGTAACCACTGGAGTGAACTTTGTTGTGCAGAAGCTGTCGTTTTGTCAGGTGAGCTTGGGCCTTCCGTCGTGGCAAGATGGACTCAATGTGGTTGTAGTTCAGACTAAGAGATTTTATATTAGGCAGGTAGATGAGGCCAGAGAAGGAGGTGAGGTTGTTGTGGTCCAGATTTATATGTTGCAGGGCGTCAAACAAGTCAGCTGGGGACAAATCAACCATTCTTATGGAGTTGGACACCATAGAAAGATTTGTAATTTCAGAGTACTTTGAATGGCCCAGCTTCTCAAACACCATGTCCGATGTTAATCTCCCACTAAACATGCCCTTTGCATTTTTACATTCAGTTTCTTCCACAGCGATGCCATCCAAAGCTTTCAACGAAGATATTTGAAAGACTACATAAATGCGATAATTTTCCAATTTCTCAACCAGTGGATTTCCATGCAAATCCAGAATGATGAGATTTGTTAATCCCTTCAGATAAAAGATATCCAGAGTTGTAGATATGTGGTTGTTGCCGATGTACAGCTCCAAAAGTGATCGGACTCTCTGAATCCCATGGAGAGAAGTGATGTGGTTTTTGTCCAGTGAGAGAAAAGTGAGGCTGGACAGCTGCTCCAAAACCAAAGGTTCTAGTGAAGTCAGTTGATTTCCATCCAAACTCAGTCTATTTAAAGAAGTGAGTTTCAATAGACCAGTTACAGTAGTGATGTTGTTGTCATTTAGTGAAAGTTCCTCTAACTTCAGACAGCAGTCAAGTCCTTCCACTTCGGCAATGTCGTTATCATTAAAGGAGGCCCAGCGCAAGTTTACTAGTCCATTAAGGTTAGACAGCTTTGAAATCCTCAAGCCATCAAGGTTCAGAGCTGTTATCTTAGACATCCAGTCTGGCTGAAGACTGTTCCACATATTGTGACTGAGTTCGCACAAGAAGTGGGCTGTAGAAAGCAGACTGAGGCTTCGTGGGCGTTCAGCATTTGTAGAGGAGTGCACTAAAAGACAAGTCTGTGTGATTCTTGTCTCTGCAGCTCCAACAGCCTCAGTAGCTTCCTCTTCAGTGATGAGTTCATCATCCAGGCGTGTGAGTGACTTCAAACCAGCCAATATGATCTTTCGAACTGACTTTGCCCTTTTCCATGGGTTGTGTCTTGTGTCCAGTCTTAATAGAACGGGTGTGTGTTTCATCAGAACCATTGTGTCTTCTCTGGCCCTGGTCAGCTTGTTCCACCGCACATCAAGGTCTCTGAGCTTTGGCAAGTTCTTCATTCCTTCGAGGGTAACCAAGCGATTAAAGCTGGCATCCAAAAACTCAAGATTATGCATGCTGCGAATGTCATCCAGCCGTGTGAATTCATTAAAGCTGATACAGAGGTGCCTGAGAGTTGAAATGCGACTAATTTCCTTCAGCTTGCTCAGACTGTTGCCATGCAAGTTCAGCACAGTTATCTGACTGGACATATTTGCCTGAGTCACACTTAGCAGCATCTTCTCATCCCTGCTCAACAGTTTGGGCTGTGCCTTCAGCACTGGCTCCATATTGAGCACTTCCCTGTCCACAACTATCTCACTGGGAGAAGTACTATTTTTCTCTGTGTTATACATATGGTTAGTCTTTTCTTGATTCGTATTGACATATTCAAAATATATGATGTACTCTGGTAGAACAAGTTCATTGTCAAATATGAACCATTTTCTGTCTTGACGACAGGACTCAGATCCGTGTGCTCTGGGAGAGCTAGGCACTTCTTTGGTGGTTGTTTTGTTTTTTGTGCCAGTGTTTAGGTACACAGAATGGGCTGTGGGGTAGTTGTTTTTTTCCACAGATTCACCATTTCTTATTGGTGTGCTGTTTCCAAGAAAATACTTTGGAAAGTATAACCCAGCCATGACAGAGAAGGCTATCATCCATAATATGGAAAGAACTGTGACTGGTGTCAGACATTGCGCTCTCAATCCGATACTGTTCACTGAAATACAGGCTGTTGGACAAAGGAATAGCCTCTTCTCTTCCTAGAGCCTTAAATTGTTCAGCAGTTTTAAAGCCATTTTCTAAAAATATGCAAAAGGTCCTCCTTTTCAGGGACTTTTGCTGGGTTAGGGACATAGAACAAGTATTCCAGTCTTTGTCTGTAATTCTGGGGAAGAGATGATGATTCATCATTGAGCAGCATCTGCAGTTTCTCTTCAAACCGAAGCCTCAGAGCAGTGTTGTGAATACGAATCACTTTGTTTATTTTTACTCCAGTAACATCATAGGCCCTGTAATCTGAGTGACAGAAGCGCAAATGAAGGAGGTCACAGCAGATAGAAAACCAGGGGTTGGCGGAACAGCCTTCCTCAAAACGAATGTTTCCAACACTTTCTAGCTCCATCAAGAGAAACTGGATTGCATATTCCACACAGCTTCTAACATGAGCAACCTCTCGCTCATGGAGTGCTTCCACTTCATCCATCTTTTTGCCCCACAGTGCCAGTCTCTCTCTTATTGAGGTCATTTTCAGGAGAATTCCTTCTTCCAAATTTGAATCTAGACTGATGCCATTATTTTGACCTTCAGAGTGTACTCTAACAGACGGGGCTTCCTCTGAGCTGAGTCCTGTAGATACTTTGCTGTCACCAGCCAATCGTGAGAGCTCTCGCTCCAGATTTTTGAATGAATAGGTTAACGTTCTGATTCTTTCTTCAGGGATCTGCAGCACAGTTTGCTTTTTCTCTGCCAGTTTGTGCACGGTCTCTGCCAGCATCCTCTGAACCGTGCGCACACGCATGTTGTAATACATCATTTTCTTTAGTACAGTAGACTCAGCAACTTCCTTGACTTGGCTGTTTGACACACTATAGGTATCAAGGCAAAGGAGGCCAGGCATGTGATACAGAATATGTGTTGCATAGTTACACAGCAGACAAACTGGGTTAGGACCTGAAGTTGGATCGTTGAGGGCTAGCTCTGTGAGTTGTGGTAAATGAGCAAGGTGGGTCAGTTCCTTAAATGATTTAATTCGATTTCCGGATAGGTTGAGGTTTTGTAGATTAACATTAGGCTCCAACAGACGCCCAATCATTTCAATGCAATTGGCAGCTAAATTTAATTCTCTGAGTTGTTCAAGGTTGTCAAGCCCCTGTATCTCACTGATGCAGTTGTTGTTGAGCCACAGGACTTGTAGATGGACCAGCCTTTGCAAATTCTGTATCTTGCTAATTTGATTATCATAAAGATAAAGTTTCTTCAGTTGTAAACAGCTCTCTAGGCCAGTAATATAACATGGCACTGAGCTACCCAGAGCTCACGGAGCATTGGACAGCCCTCCAAGCCTTCAATGATCTCCAAGCTCTGGCCGACTATAGTCAACTGACAAAGTCTGGGGAAAAATGAAAGTCCAACCATGCGTGGGAAATCAGAGAAGAATATCTCCAGGGAGTTGACAGATGTTCCTTCATGTGCAATTTTGTCATAAGCTATGCCATTGGTCTTGCACAGTTCCTTAAGCACTTCATCATCACCACGAAACTTCATTTTTTCATTGTGGCTCATGATGGTCAGAGCAGTGGAGGATTTTACTTTTCAACCCTGTCCAAAGGTCTGTAAATAAGCTGCGTATTGCTTCTTGTTTTGGTAACTTAGCGGAATTCAGTTAAACTGCTGAGAGAGCTCAAGAAATATGTCTGCTTCGGTCAACTGTCCTGTAGAAATGAACTTAGTGGAGCACCTTCCTACAGCTTATAAAGGTCAGGATAGAATTCTGAAACATGACATCAAAGGCTGTCATGGAGATATGCAAATTAGGGGCTGATAAATAAAGAAAGCATTTTTTAAATTTTTTTAATAGGGTTAGCCCGATCCGATGCGGACTCGATCCGAATTCTACTCTCGTTGGGCATATGTCATAGCTAAACCAGTAATGGACAGGCTCCCTCCAGTTCTGCGCGTTGATCTCATCTCACTCCTAGCTGGATTACTGTGTTTTGTGCTTCTTATCTGGGATGGATTTGTAGCTGAGATGCTGTGGGGTCTCATCTGCAGCAGTCAATGAACTGTCCTGTCCTTGGATGAGGTTCTGCAGCCCTCCGCTCATGGTGGTTATGGTTCTTAAAGTGTTGCGTGACATAAGTGGCAACAGTCCGGACAGGTTTATCTCAGTGCTGAACTGTGGGCATGGCGAGGACTCTGTGTTGAGCAGCTCGGCTCTGGTCCTCTCCTCTACAGTTATGACTACTCCATCCAGAATCTGCAGCTGTGACAGGCGCAGAACCACGGCTGCTCTGTACACAGAGCTACGGGCCACAGGGTTGCCGGTCACACAAAGTTCTGTCAGTGAAGGGAGGGCTTCTAGTTTCTCCAACTCTGCAGTATCCTGCAGCTTGTTGGAGTCTAGGGAGAGCTTCCGTAGCTCTGTCAGGTGCTCCAGGTGGCTGAGCTCGCGGACACGGTTCTCTGACAGGGAAAGTTCTAAAAGTGCACCCTGCCCAGTAAAAGAGTTCTCGGAAAAGACTTTGATTAGATTTTTGTCCAGCACTAGTTCTCTGAGAAGGTGGAGTCCTTCCAGTCCCTCTACCTGGCTGATCTCATTACCTTGAAGAAAGAGTGCCTTCAGATTGGTGAGCCTGCTGAGCTGAAGATTGGCCATATTGGAGATGCCATTGTGACTCAAATGCAGCTCCTCCAGACTCCCCATCAGCGGCTCCAGGCTGCCAAAGGGTACAGCTTCCCCGTTGCTCTTGGTCTGTCTCTGCTGGCCGTAACCACTGGAGTGAACTTTGTTGTGCAGAAGCTGTCGTTTTGTCAGGTGAGCTTGGGCCTTCCGTCGTGGCAAGATGGACTCAATGTGGTTGTAGTTCAGACTAAGAGATTTTATATTAGGCAGGTAGATGAGGCCAGAGAAGGAGGTGAGGTTGTTGTGGTCCAGATTTATATGTTGCAGGGCGTCAAACAAGTCAGCTGGGGACAAATCAACCATTCTTATGGAGTTGGACACCATAGAAAGATTTGTAATTTCAGAGTACTTTGAATGGCCCAGCTTCTCAAACACCATGTCCGATGTTAATCTCCCACTAAACATGCCCTTTGCATTTTTACATTCAGTTTCTTCCACAGCGATGCCATCCAAAGCTTTCAACGAAGATATTTGAAAGACTACATAAATGCGATAATTTTCCAATTTCTCAACCAGTGGATTTCCATGCAAATCCAGAATGATGAGATTTGTTAATCCCTTCAGATAAAAGATATCCAGAGTTGTAGATATGTGGTTGTTGCCGATGTACAGCTCCAAAAGTGATCGGACTCTCTGAATCCCATGGAGAGAAGTGATGTGGTTTTTGTCCAGTGAGAGAAAAGTGAGGCTGGACAGCTGCTCCAAAACCAAAGGTTCTAGTGAAGTCAGTTGATTTCCATCCAAACTCAGTCTATTTAAAGAAGTGAGTTTCAATAGACCAGTTACAGTAGTGATGTTGTTGTCATTTAGTGAAAGTTCCTCTAACTTCAGACAGCAGTCAAGTCCTTCCACTTCGGCAATGTCGTTATCATTAAAGGAGGCCCAGCGCAAGTTTACTAGTCCATTAAGGTTAGACAGCTTTGAAATCCTCAAGCCATCAAGGTTCAGAGCTGTTATCTTAGACATCCAGTCTGGCTGAAGACTGTTCCACATATTGTGACTGAGTTCGCACAAGAAGTGGGCTGTAGAAAGCAGACTGAGGCTTCGTGGGCGTTCAGCATTTGTAGAGGAGTGCACTAAAAGACAAGTCTGTGTGATTCTTGTCTCTGCAGCTCCAACAGCCTCAGTAGCTTCCTCTTCAGTGATGAGTTCATCATCCAGGCGTGTGAGTGACTTCAAACCAGCCAATATGATCTTTCGAACTGACTTTGCCCTTTTCCATGGGTTGTGTCTTGTGTCCAGTCTTAATAGAACGGGTGTGTGTTTCATCAGAACCATTGTGTCTTCTCTGGCCCTGGTCAGCTTGTTCCACCGCACATCAAGGTCTCTGAGCTTTGGCAAGTTCTTCATTCCTTCGAGGGTAACCAAGCGATTAAAGCTGGCATCCAAAAACTCAAGATTATGCATGCTGCGAATGTCATCCAGCCGTGTGAATTCATTAAAGCTGATACAGAGGTGCCTGAGAGTTGAAATGCGACTAATTTCCTTCAGCTTGCTCAGACTGTTGCCATGCAAGTTCAGCACAGTTATCTGACTGGACATATTTGCCTGAGTCACACTTAGCAGCATCTTCTCATCCCTGCTCAACAGTTTGGGCTGTGCCTTCAGCACTGGCTCCATATTGAGCACTTCCCTGTCCACAACTATCTCACTGGGAGAAGTACTATTTTTCTCTGTGTTATACATATGGTTAGTCTTTTCTTGATTCGTAGTGACATATTCAAAATATATGATGTACTCTGGTAGAACAAGTTCATTGTCAAATATGAACCATTTTCTGTCTTGACGACAGGACTCAGATCCGTGTGCTCTGGGAGAGCTAGGCACTTCTTTGGTGGTTGTTTTGTTTTTTGTGCCAGTGTTTAGGTACACAGAATGGGCTGTGGGGTAGTTGTTTTTTTCCACAGATTCACCATTTCTTATTGGTGTGCTGTTTCCAAGAAATACTTTGGAAAGTATAACCCAGCCATGACAGAGAAGGCTATCATCCATAATATGGAAAGAACTGTGACTGGTGTCAGACATTGCGCTCTCAATCCGATACTGTTCACTGAAATACAGGCTGTTGGACAAAGGAATAGCCTCTTCTCTTCCTAGAGCCTTAAATTGTTCAGCAGTTTTAAAGCCATTTTCTAAAATATGCAAAAGGTCCTCCTTTTCAGGGACTTTTGCTGGGTTAGGGACATAGAACAAGTATTCCAGTCTTTGTCTGTAATTCTGGGGAAGAGATGATGATTCATCATTGAGCAGCATCTGCAGTTTCTCTTCAAACCGAAGCCTCAGAGCAGTGTTGTGAATACGAATCACTTTGTTTATTTTTACTCCAGTAACATCATAGGCCCTGTAATCTGAGTGACAGAAGCGCAAATGAAGGAGGTCACAGCAGATAGAAAACCAGGGGTTGGCGGAACAGCCTTCCTCAAAACGAATGTTTCCAACACTTTCTAGCTCCATCAAGAGAAACTGGATTGCATATTCCACACAGCTTCTAACATGAGCAACCTCTCGCTCATGGAGTGCTTCCACTTCATCCATCTTTTTGCCCCACAGTGCCAGTCTCTCTCTTATTGAGGTCATTTTCAGGAGAATTCCTTCTTCCAAATTTGAATCTAGACTGATGCCATTATTTTGACCTTCAGAGTGTACTCTAACAGACGGGGCTTCCTCTGAGCTGAGTCCTGTAGATACTTTGCTGTCACCAGCCAATCGTGAGAGCTCTCGCTCCAGATTTTTGAATGAATAGGTTAACGTTCTGATTCTTTCTTCAGGGATCTGCAGCACAGTTTGCTTTTTCTCTGCCAGTTTGTGCACGGTCTCTGCCAGCATCCTCTGAACCGTGCGCACACGCATGTTGTAATACATCATTTTCTTTAGTACAGTAGACTCAGCAACTTCCTTGACTTGGCTGTTTGACACACTATAGGTATCAAGGCAAAGGAGGCCAGGCATGTGATACAGAATATGTGTTGCATAGTTACACAGCAGACAAACTGGGTTAGGACCTGAAGTTGGATCGTTGAGGGCTAGCTCTGTGAGTTGTGGTAAATGAGCAAGGTGGGTCAGTTCCTTAAATGATTTAATTCGATTTCCGGATAGGTTGAGGTTTTGTAGATTAACATTAGGCTCCAACAGACGCCCAATCATTTCAATGCAATTGGCAGCTAAATTTAATTCTCTGAGTTGTTCAAGGTTGTCAAGCCCCTGTATCTCACTGATGCAGTTGTTGTTGAGCCACAGGACTTGTAGATGGACCAGCCTTTGCAAATTCTGTATCTTGCTAATTTGATTATCATAAAGATAAAGTTTCTTCAGTTGTAAACAGCTCTCTAGGCCAGTAATATCCTTAACATGGCACTGAGCTACCCAGAGCTCACGGAGCATTGGACAGCCCTCCAAGCCTTCAATGATCTCCAAGCTCTGGCCGACTATAGTCAACTGACAAAGTCTGGGGAAAAATGAAAGTCCAACCATGCGTGGGAAATCAGAGAAGAATATCTCCAGAGAGTTGACAGATGTTCCTTCATGTGCAATTTTGTCATAAGCTATGCCATTGGTCTTGCACAGTTCCTTAAGCACTTCATCATCACCACGAAACTTCAGTTTTTCATTGTGGCTCATGATGGTCAGAGCAGTGGAGGATTTTACTTTTCAACCCTGTCCAAAGGTCTGTAAATAAGCTGCGTATTGCTTCTTGTTTTGGTAACTTAGCGGAATTCAGTTAAACTGCTGAGAGAGCTCAAGAAATATGTCTGCTTCGGTCAACTGTCCTGTAGAAATGAACTTAGTGGAGCACCTTCCTACAGCTTATAAAGGTCAGGATAGAATTCTGAAACATGACATCAAAGGCTGTCATGGAGATATGCAAATTAGGGGCTGATAAATAAAGAAAGCATTTTTTAAATTTTTTTAATAGGGTTAGCCCGATCCGATGCGGACTCGATCCGAATTCGGACATTATGGTCCGGTCAGGTATCGGATAAATAATATATGTGTATAACACACAGGACACACAGCACACAACAGTTTTTCTGAGGCTCGGGATTTGCTCAGGGACGTCCAGTTAGCTCGACTGTCTGTCCGTGCCGTGCTCAGGCGCTGTTACCTTGGGTTCTGTGGCCCTTGTTCACACCTGTGCGTCGTTGCACGTGTGCATGTTGCGCAGTGGAGCTACCGCTTTTAGCGGTGAGGGTCTGTTCAGGGGCATGGAGTGTCTATTGAGCGGTGGGATTGATGTTGCGTGGCGTGCTCCACGGTGGGTTTGTTGATGTGGTGGCGGTGCGGGGGAGTGGGGGCGGCCGGGGACTGCCATCTCGTTTTTATTTGGTAATATCTTGTATTATTTGGATATCATAGACCAGGGGTGCTCAATACGTCGATCGCGATCTACCAGTTGATCGCCAAGGTCGTGTGGGTAGATCGCCGTGTCTCGTCTCGGAGTCGCGTTTGGACTCAGTCTTGTCTCTCACTCAAGGTCTGACACTCAACAAGTGCGAACATATTTCATTACGGCCGCTGCTGTTGGTAATAAACTTGTACCGGGGTGCAGGAGCGTGTGGGGCGTCTCAGTGCAGCCCGCAGAGACTCTACGGCACATCACAAATACACACGCTCCCTATGCACGGCTCATCTGCAACAGCGTGTGCCCTCGTGTACCAGCGTGCATCACAGGGCAGGTTAAACTTCCTAAACATCCTACCTGTCCATCTGGCTCACGTCAGCACGCCGCCCCTCACCTTTTCATGCTCTCGCTCCTTCCTGCGTACAGCGAACACAAGCCCCTCCCACAGTGCGCGTTGATTAGAAGAGCAAGACGAAACGTGAAGCAAAACCGAGTGTAAATTTGTGTTCCAGTGTTGGCACAAAGCAGGTCTACAGCATAGAGCAGATCTACAGAACAGACCTACTGCCACATTTGGCTGAAGTTTGTCTAACAAAAGTTCACAAATGCATCTGTGTTTGTCACGATGTGCGTTTGGTTTGGTAAACGTGCAGAGGCTGGTAAATATCACTGCAAAACCCCTGTCATAGATGAGCCTAAATGTTTCAAATGTAATGCACATGCTTCGATATAATATAGAATATACAAACTCTAGATTGTGCAGTCTAGTCTCAGGGTCTGATCTGATTCTGGTCTGGTACCTGTTTTGTCCAGTGCATTAAGTTTACTAAGTTACACATTCCAAGACCAGACTGTGAAAAGTCAAGATTTTCAACTATGATGGTGAATGGCTAGAAAATTTAATAAAAAAAGCTTTGGAAATTAGATTTTTCACAAGTTCAGCCCAAATACTACACATTGAAATAAACACAATCTGATCCCCCCCATACATCCTGGATCTTATTCTTTGCGCTTTGTTCATTTTATAATGTTTCATAGAAGTATCGAATTGGGACTCGGTATCGGCAGATACTCAAACTCAAATGACTCGGACTCGAGGGCAAAAAAATGTGATCGGGACATCCTTATTTTAAACCTGATTCCCTTTATTCCTTTGTGTTACTCAGTTCTCACCAAAACCATCTCCTTTTTGGTCTTCTGTGCTCTGATTTTTGTATTCTACCCCTACACCACAGTCTCTGAACTATATAAAGCAAAGTTGATGTGGCAGTCCGTCTTTGTATTTCCACTGACGTCCATGACCTTGCTCTTAGTCATATTTTCACACATTTTGTTTAGCTGGACACATCAAAAGGCCCAAACAAATAAAACAGGCCTGCATCCCTGTGTAAAAGCCACTGGGAGGTTTTCTTGGGTGTAATTTATAATAATTGCAGACTACATGCACATTTTGCTTTGCTACAGGGGGGAGGCTGTGTGTGTGTGAAACCTCGGATAGACCAGGGCATGGAAACTACTGCAAACTCCTCTGTTCTAAGAGCAAAGACGGTATAAAAATGTGGACTAAGGGAGTGTAATGTCACCTATAGGCTCCAGCCAAATGAATTATAGGATGAATTTGGAGTTGAGTTCCATATTAGGAATGGGAATTGATTTCTGGAGAAATAGTGAAAATAGTGAAATAGAAACATGAGGATCACGTAGAGCAGGTTAACACGAACATTTTAAGACCAAAATGACGAGGCTCACAGCAGCAGTTACGGAGAGAGCGGTGACAATGTTTCAATGTAAAGTCAATTGGAAACGGTGTCGATGGAGCCAGAAGCGCCCCCATGATCACTTGCTATTTGTAATCTTAGCTATGTCCATTTGTATATAGCATTTTAGTTGTCTATAAAACCACAGAAGGTCCCAGATATGCTCAATAGAATAAAATGCAGAGGTTGTTTTAAATGTGTTTAGGGTAAGACTAGTATGTTTCCTTTTATCCTGATTTTGACCTTGTCTTTAGCCTTTGATTGGGTCAAAGTATTTTCTGTTTTCTAATGTTGTACATCTATGAATCAGTCAAGGTTTATTTATAGAGCACTTCACAAGATCATGACAACAATAGCATGTAGATCTCCACACAAAATAATAAATATTTCTCTGCACTGATGTAGTGAAAGAACATTGGTGTAAGAAGAGGACATGGCTAGACTGAATGATTTGGAAATATAATTATTACGCAAAATTGACTCGTGAGCTTTATTCCATTTGATAAGTTTGTTACCTCCTCAAAAACATACCTGGAGCTGTGTGATTGAGTAATCCTACATTATTAGTCTACCTTCAACATTCTCTGTCCCACCTTATGATGTCGTGTATTGATAGTTTTGAAGTTAACAGCTACCTTTTACTTTTTGTTCAGTGAAGATCGGCATTTCCAGGGCTGAAATTATCCAAATGAGCTGAGTGAAGGTGTATGGAGTTTAAAGCACATTGGAGCACTTTCTGTATTACATGTCATCACAAGGTGGAACAGAGTGTTATCTGTTTGAGCGAAGACCTCAGACTAAGGGCCTTTTTACACGAGAACGACTAAATATTTTATTGGAAGTGCCTGTTGTTTATACGGTGATGGTGTTTTTGGGCTTAAAAACGCAAAAATCTAAAACCACCCTCCAGATTGGAAAAGCTGTATATGCTCTCCGTTGTAGCGTTTCTGTCTACACTTAGTAAAACGCAAAACTCTGGTCAGATCTGCTCACATCGTGTACACGTTTACGTCACGTACATACAGTACACAGAAACAAACATGTCAGATCATTTCCATGCGCTGGACCTTCAAGTTGCTCTGGCAGTTCTAATAAACTTATAGGAGGCATCCCAACAAATGTACAGAATATGCAGAGATACTATTAGTGAACAGAGAAGGATCTACAATTACCTGTGTCACATTCTGGATGCACCAGTTTGTCGCAGGCGAGCCAGACGACCATGGATGAGACCTGGGAGAACCAGTTGATGGTGGGACAACTTTGTGGAAGGAGTAGCTGATGAAAATACGTGGCTTGAAAAACTTCCGTATGTCCAAAGACGCCCTTGTTGCTTTAAGTACAAGCATACACAGTCAAATTCCACACACTTTTGCGTCACTGTATGCACGCAGATTTCCTCCCAAAAACACTCGTCTAAACGCTGAATAAAAAGTGAAGATGCGGCACCACTTTTGCGTCTTCTGTTCAGATCTTCATCATATAAACGTAGCCTAAATATGCAGTACTTGTGTGATAAACATGTGTGAATAAAACAAAACACAACTCCAGGTCTGTTTGCGATAATTAAACAACATTATAACACAGAACAGAAAATAATGTAATCTGAGCCCTTTAATTAATAATGAAAAGGGGGGTGTATTGACCTTGAATAAAAAGTACTGGAAAGTTACACACTGTGGCATTAAACTTTTATGTGCAGAGGCGGCCCTGCTCATAGTGTTTTCAAGGTATTTTTAAAGCAAAGAAATAACTGTAATTGAGTAAATAAAAAGAAAAACCTGGAGTGAACCATTCCTCTATGCTTTTCAAACACAAATCATAAAATATAACTAATCAGTCATAATAACTGTTTTCCTCGACAGTGTGACAAAAAACTCTATTCCAACTCTATTCATATTTCAACCCTTAACCTGTGAAGTACCAGTTTTTAAAAAAAAGGACCACTGTGGTAGCCTTGTGTTTCCCACCACAGGAAAGAATGAGCTCCGGTGCCAGATGGACGTTGTTGAAATCTCAATGAAACTGGCATGGCCTACTTTCTCGTCTGGCCTAAAATAAACTCACAAAAATCTGTCCAAACATTGTAGATACCCAGACACCGGGAAAATGAAATGTCTAATTATTGACTTGTGAAGTTTTTGTAGAAATCTTTAGAGGCCAAACTCAGAAACAGGATTTATTGATGTTATGTAATGTTGTAAACAGAATCCTCACATGGTTTTAAAACTAGGGCAGTTCCTTTGATATTTAAAATTTGAGTTGCTTGTACAATTTGTCTGAATCTCAGTTTGGTGAATTTTGCAGTATTTCAGGTTTGATTGAAGTAGTAATAATCAACATAAGAACATTTAGTAAACAGATTTTTTGTTATTAATTTATTATTTTTTTTAAAGACGCTCTATGAATCTTTTGTGGATAGGAGTCCTGTAATCTTCTATAGTACACATTAAACATATCTATCTATTTTTTTTGCTCAATAATACCTTGAAAAACATGCAGTCTTAAAGTAAACAATATCGCCCCTTCCACACATCTGACCAGTAACTTTGCCTGGAGATGGATAATGCAATACTGTGGAACATTCTAGCCAAAGCAATAACACCTCCATGGAGACAAGCAGGCGAAGGACACTTAGACTTAGACTTAGAAAAACTTAATTGATCCACAAGGGAAATTATTTGGACACAGTAGCTCCCACATCACAATAATATGATAACAAAGAGCAAAAATATAAATGGTAAAATAAATTCTAAATAAGTATCAAAACAAAAAAAATAGCAAGAGACTGGTGTCAGATAAGACATAATTATATAAATTTAAATAAAGTAAAAAATAGAAAGATAAGTAATAAAATATAAAAATGACAGCTTTATACAAGAGGTCATAAGAAGACAGCGCAACAATGATATGATGATTGACAGGACATAGGGTTATCCGTTACATAAGGGCAAGTTGTTGTACAGTTGTAGGGAGTATTATCTGTTACATAAGGGTGTAGTTGTAGTATGTTGTTACAGGGACAGTTGTAGGGAGTATTATCTGTTACATAAGGGTGAGTTGTTGTACAGTTGTAGGGAGTATTATCTGTTACATAAGGGTGAGTTGTTGTACAGTTGTAGGGGTATTATCTAAGGGTGATTTGTACAGTTGTAAGGAGTATTATCTGTTACTTAAGGGTGAGTTGTACAGTTGTAGGGAGTATTATCTGTTACAGGGTGAGTTGTACAGTTAGGGATTAGTATTGTACAGTTGTAGGGTAGTACATTGTAGGTATATCTGTTATTAAGGGTGAGTTACAGTTGTAGGGAGTATTATCTGTTACTAAGGGTGAGTTGTACAGTTGTAGGGAGTATTATATGTTACTTAAGGGTGAGTTGTACAGTTGTAGGGAGTATTATCTGTTACATAAGGGTGAGTTGTACAGTTGTAGGGAGTATTATCTGTTACTTAAGGGTGAGTTGTACAGTTGTAGTAGTATTATCTGTTACATAAGTAGGAGTACAGTTGTAGGAGTATTATCATAAGGGTGAGTTGTACAGTTGTAGGGAGTATTATCTGTTACATAAGGGTGAGTTAGGTATTTTGTAGGGTAGTGAGTATTATCTGTTATATAAGAGTGAGTTGTACAGTTGTAGGGAGTATTATCTGTTATATAAGGGTGAGCAGTTGTACAGTTGTATGGAGTATGGTATGAATGTAATGTATGAATGCAAAAAAAAAAATAAATAAATAAAATAAATTTAAAAATAAAAATCAATCATAGTACACCTTTAGAGAGGTAATTTTGATTAACACCAGATATGACAACAAAAACTCACCTCTCTTTCAGTGCTTTTTTTCTTAATTCATCATGGAATTTTGTAGCTTTGTCGAAAAATATTTTGTTAGTTAACTTTTTTCTTTACTAAATAATTCCGTCTTGCTGTATTTGTATGTATTTGATTTCTTCTTTATGTATCTAAAATGTCAAAAGTATTAAATATGTAGGAAAAACCACTGAATGAGCGGATGTGTCCAAGCTTTTGACTGGTGGTGTATGCTGCTGAACACTTTTGAAATAACATACACACATTACTGGAACTATATTTTAGCATATCTTTTTACTTTATTTCACATTGATAACAAATACATCTTGTTTCTTTTTAATTATTCCTGTGCAGTGTGAGGAGAACACGAGTTTGGCCGACTGCTCACGTTACCTGAAGATGCCCTTCTCCAAAGCCAACCTGCCCTCCAACAACCAGACCTTAAAAGGGACCAAGGAGTCTTTCTGGATCACCAGCTTCCTCTGCTCCACCAAACTCACACAGAACGGTAAAATATGCAGAGTATTCAGTTACACTTTTGCGTTTATGGAACAGTGATATAAAGGGACCCATTTTATATACTCAATAATTTACTCCATGGTTTTATTGTGAATTCCTATTGAATTACAAGCTGGATTTGCTTTAAACTGGCAGCAGAGTGAAGACTGTAGCATTTTCTGATATTCCTGCTGCGTTGCAACACTGTAATTTCCATATTAGGGGACAAATACAGGTTTATCTTATCATATTTTCTTCTGTCTTTGTAGGCGTAACTGCTGAATATGCATGAAGGTCAGATTAACTACACTACACAGCAGCTCATTTTATATTTAAATAGAAACTCACCAAATCACCTTTAAATTATTGGTGTCTGTTACTGTAATGGTACAAATTCTCATAATAAATATATATCATACTTGTTCAGAAGTGTCGAGCTGAATTTGAATGCACAGTAAAAGTTTTTCTCAGTTACAATGTTTTATTCATGAGGGAACTAAGCCGCAGAGAGATGACTTTTTATCTCCTTTATTTCCTGTCACACTTGAAAATGTCATCATTGTTAAAGTTTTGGGGGTGTATTGAAAACTCTCTCTCTTTGTGTTGACGTGTTATACTTGTTCCAATTATTGTACACTGATCAAGATTGTGACGATAGACGGATACACGCGGATAGTCACAGTCACAGTCTCTTTGTAGTTTTCTATGAAGATCAATTCTGTGTATTTTAGTATAGCCCCATCTGTCGCTCCACATGGCAGGTTTGTATTTAGTCTGGTTTGTTCCTGGTTTGATCCGGTTTAGTCCTGATGTAGTCAGGTTGGTTTGGTCTTGTTCTAGCATTGATCAAGTCGGGGTTTTAGCTCCAGGTTTAGTCCTAGTTTAGACCCAAGACTGATGTGTTGTCTGAGCAAGCCTTTATAGTCCAATGAAGAGAACTGTTGTAACAGGTGGACTGGCAATTGATATTTTACAGCAGACATGTCAAACTCAGGCCCAGGTGCCAAATTTGGCCCACGATACAATTATATTTGGCCCACGAGATTATATCAATTATGCATTAGAGCTGACCCGCTGGCTACAGATAGGCTATAGAGTTATTATTTATTTAAAATTGTGTTATTATTTTATATTATGCTTGTTCTGGATTCAGTGTTTAAGCAAAACTATTATTAAACATTTATTTTAATGAGAAAAAGTTTAACATTACATATCTCGAAAGAAGAGAAAACATGCAGATGTTGCTGAAATGTTTTAATATTTAGTTTGGCCCATGATTTAGTCCCAGTTTTTAATTGTGGCTCTCTGTGAATTTCACTTTGACACCCCTGCTTTACAGTGATATAACGCTGGGGGTGTTGTACATGTATCTCTATTGGCAGAATGTTTAACAGTTACCACGGTGATGCAATGCACACATTAGCGAAAACTGACAAAAATGTTTTAATATAGTCTTAAATCTCAAGAAAATAATAAATAATGGATTAAACAACACATTTTCAGGAGCCTGTGATCAATACGAGTGTTCATGGTCCTGTTTAGATGTTTGATTTTCAACAAAAAGATGAGACTGACTGTGAAACTGCACTAACTACTAACTAGCTCGCTAATAATTTTACGTGTGAGAGTTTAAATACACAAATAATCTCACCTGTTGTAGTTCTAACCAAGTCAGCTCTTTCTGGTCAGATTGTGTAAACATATGGTTAGATTAAAGTTAAAATTGAGTAAGAGAGCTTCAGATATAGAGATGCACCAAACCATCTTCGGTTCCGATATTAAATAATTGGTAAAAATAAAAATATTGGAGTGCTGCACAGGATCAAAACTTGCGAGCACAGGTGCTCATCAGACCAGAGGGCTTGAATTCTTGTTGAGTAGAAAAAAGGATGGGAGAGGTGTCACGGTGTATTTATTAAATGTCACGTGACAATTAATAAATACAATCTCAACATTAATCAATTGGTATTAATAATGGTTCCATATTATGCAAAACTGACTCTTGTGAGCTTTAAGTCATGTTATAATGTTGTTGCCTCATCAAACAGACCTGGAGTTGTGTTTTGTTTCATTCGCACATATTTGAGTAACTCTTTATTATTAGTCTTTCCACATCTCCAAAGCTCAAAATGCTCTGTTCCACCTTGTGATGTCATGTACATGTAGTGATAGTTTCACGTTAACAACTCATTTTTCCTTTACTTCAGTAGGTCTTGGCAATTCCAGGGCTTAAATTATCCATATGATTCTATTGAAGGTGGAGTGGAGTTTAAAAACACAGTGGAGCACTTCCTGTATGACATATCACAAGGTGGAGCAGAGTGTTTTCTGTTTGAGAGAAGAACTCAGCCTAAATATGCAGGGTTTGTGTGTTAAACATGTGCAAATGAAACAAAACAAAACTCAGGGTATGTTTGTGGTGAGGAAACAACATTATAACACACTGCAGATCAGAAAATAACGTAATACGAGCCCTTTAAAGGTTGTATGGATTTTTTTTTTGTTTCAAATTGTCAATGAAAGTTTAAAATACCATTACAGAGACGCAGCGGCTTTGTAATTATAATGACCAAAAAAAAAAAGAATGAAAATCTATCAACTGTGGACGTGTTGAGGACAGATAAACATCAGCCAATAGAAAACGAGGCTCCCTCATTTTCTGTTGGCTGTTGGGTTGTCAATCAAACTCCCTAGTGTAACTGACTCGTCGGAGCGCGGGGATTACGTGGTTTATGCAGCGGTTCTTAGAGGCTTTTTCAAACTGTCGCTTCCTCGCATTTCGCACAAAGTTTGTCGCGACGGCGGACGAGAATCCACGACCGGTTCGCCGCAAAAGAAAGTCCGTAATTGAGGTCGCTGAAAGAAGAAGAGAAGGAGAAAAGGAGCGAAGACAAACTGAGGTGATTCTTGGAGATTCCTTCCACCGATGGTGCGACTGAAACAGACGAAGGGTCTAAAAACTGACGCGTCGGTCGCTGAATTACCTCTAGGCAGGAAACTTCAACAGTAACGAGGACTGTCGCTGTATTTCTCTTCACTTAAAAACAATCCTCTATACAACCTTTAAGTATTCTTTGTTTCATTAGTGTGTCTGTATTTCCACTCCTAACTGTTATCTCTCACCTTGTTTCTCTCCAGGCGACATGTTGGACCTGTTGAAGTGGCGTGCTCACCCTGAACGCATCAACGACAGCCTGTCAAAGCTCAAGGAGATCGATGGCTCCGAGATTGTCAAAGTAGGTCCCCTCTTATCAGATTCTGGGCCCAAAATTGCCTCTGCTCCTCTGCTGTTGAAATATTGATCGTTCCTTATTTGATTTTGTTTCATATGCTTTTTTTTTTTTTTTTTCATATTAAGTTCAACAGGTCGCTGCGTTGTGTTATAACTCATCTGTTTTTACTTTTTTCACTCAGTTCCTTCAGGACACACTGGACACTCTGTTTGGAATTCTGGATGAAAGCAGCTCAAGATATGGACTCAAGGTTTTCGATTCGCTGGTGAGTTTACTAAAGATTAGAAACTTGCTTCTTTTTTTTTCCTTTTTTTTATCTGAAAGACGTTATTAGGGATAATTAAAGTTAACATTCACTATCTACTGTCATAATACATAATAGTAATGATTAGTAAAACTGTTCTTGTCATTTCCAATTGTATTTTCTACCCCAAAATTAGACTGCATTGATTTGCTTTTAGTTTGCAAAAAGGTGAATTACAATTTTACAAAACAAAACATGACATTCACTTGATTTGACATGGGACACTGGAGGGTGGGGGCTTCTAATAAGTAGAATAATGAAAAATAAAAATAACTCATTTGATACGGGCATGGGAAAAACAGTGTTGCATTTAAAATCTGATTTCCAATGCATATTTTCAAATCTGTATTACAGTGTAAGCTTTAAAGCCACCATCCACGAGTTTATTTTGATTTTTTAACCAGTAGATGGCAGATCTGAAACCTATTCTACCTCTACCCCTCCCTTCATCTGGCCTTTGTTCAGACTTACCTGTGCTCTCTGGTCTTCTTCTGTCAGGAAAGTAACATAGGCAGCATTTAGTGGTGATAAGTGAGAATACAAGATTGGGTCAACCAGTCTAATTACGAATGGTAAATTTAAAGTCATCCAGGAACATTAAAATTTGAGAAAACTGACATGTAAACTGTTTAACTAAGCATTTTTTATTTTATTTTTTTACACCATATATAGCCCAGATGCAATTTTGTGTTGTTTACAGAGGACGTTCTGCTTCCTACATAATTTAAGCTTTTGTGATTAAATCATTTTGACATTTCAAACAGTAGTTCAAATGTGATTGCAATTAAATATGCAGCACTGATCCAGCAGCTGTTTATAGAGTTGGAGAAAAATCACTTGCCTCATTTCCAAAATAAACAAACCAATAAATATCCCACAAGTTTTTATTACAGTAATTAAGTTTTATGCTTCAGATAGTATTACATTAGACCTGTCCAGAGTGTGACCACAGAAGCCACTAAGACAAAGTTTTGGCGCTGGTCCGGTCTCTGATCTATGGTTTCTGGTTTCCGGTCTCTGGTCTGGTCTTTGGTCTGGTCTTTGATCTAGTCTAGTCAGACCAGAGTCCAGTCTCTGGACCGGTCTCTGGTCCGGTCTCTGGTCCGGTCTCTGGTACAGTCTCTGGTCTCTGGTCTGGTCTCTGGACTCTGGTCTCTGAATTCTGGTCTTATGTCTAGTGCGGTCTCTGGTCTGGTCTCTGATTCTATCTGTGGTCCATTCTCTGGTCCGGTCTGTGGTCTGGTCTCTGAACTCTGGTCTAATCTCTAGTCCGGTCTCTGGTCTGGTCTCTGCTCCGGTCTCTAGTCCGGTTTCTGGTCTCTGGTCTTTGGTCTCTGTTCTCTGGTATCTGGTATCTGGACTCTGGTCCGATCTCTAGTCCACTCTCAGGTCTGGTCTCTAGCCCGGTCTCTCCTTCACTTTCTGGTCCGGTCTCTGGTCTCTGGTCTGGTCTTTGGTGTCTGGTCTCCAGTCCAGTCTCCGGTCTTTAGTCTGGTCTCTAGTCCGGTCTCTCCTCCAGTCTCTCTGGTCCGGTCTCTGGTCTCTGGTCTCTGGTCTGGTACAGTAATGCTTCAATACTCTGTGAACCAATCTCCCTCAGTCACAGCACAGTGCGCTGATGGACTGCAGATAGATCGATTGGCTCGCCGTCTCTCCTTCCTTCTACACACTGACACAAACCGCACTTTTTCCCCTCATGTGGCATTATCGGTGATGAAACGCTCCATGGAGACGGGGAGCTATACCTTTTTCTATTTGCGAGTTAAAATCAATCAAATAAGCCTGACTCTTGGATATTTTATCTCCTGCGGTCAAATAGATAATGCAGAATTTACAGCAATCTCCACACAGAGGAAACCACAGCGTAATGGATTTAGATCACCAGCATCTTCGGTTGTGTAACATAATGGTTTTGGTCTTATGTAATATGCCTACACCTGTTCTATCATATCACCCCTACACAACTGGTGAATATTTGTAAGATGAAAGAATTATATTTAAACGATTTACTACAAAATCCAATTTCACGCATTATATCCAAAATCATGGTATTCAATTCCTGGTTGTAAAGGTGTGTTGCGTAACGTTTCTGGTGGAAGGTATGCCAGCTACTTTTCTAGGTGGAGGTGTTGTTCCTTTGTCAAAAATGTTCCACAGCCTGGCATTAAACCCGTGTATTTCCATGGAGACAAGCATCTGTGGACAGCTGACCCCACTCGCAGTATGAATATGTGTTTTCAAGATGTTTTCGAGCAATAAAAACACCTGTAATGAAATAAACGGTAGGCACATTGGTTTAATAACTTCCCAGGGAACATAACAAGCGTGGCAATAACATCTCCATGGACACAAGGAGGTCATAGGAAGTCATATCTTCCACCAGAAAAGTTACACAGCACACCTTTAAGTTCATTATTCTTGCTTTATTTGGAAAATCTAATGCTAAATTTGTCTTTTTTCTTCCTAGGTTCACATAATCAACCTCCTCCAAGACAGTAAATTTCAACATTTTAAACCCGTCATGGACACCTACATCGAGAGCCACTTCGCTGGAGCTTTGTCGTACAGGTAATTATGTTCTTTTAATTTATGTACCTTGATGTAAACTGTGAACACCAAAGTAAACATGTAAGAAAAATCGACACACATACTAGTACACATGCAAATTGGATCTTACTTGAACTACTGACATTTTAATCCCTTGTCAAAAAACTCTACTCGGCATTTAATACAACAGTGTAATCACCTATACTGTTATAAAGAAATTAATCCACTCAAATTGACCCTCCCTAAATGTCACAACAGTTGTCAGGTAACTAACTGTCTAGTGCAGTGCATTTCAGTGAGTGTGTTAGCTCTAAACGTTATGACTACAGTGCCCCCTGGTGGATGATTGGAGAATAGCGCTGTGTCGTCTTGAGTCTCCTTCACTGGTCCTTCTTTGATCCCTCCCATGCAGACTCACATATTCACGACCTGCTGTTCTCACCGGCTGCCTTCTTCACACTCGCTGTACCTGCTATGAGGCCCATGCTGATATCATGTTGTTATTTTACACACACATAAAGCACACAATGTGTCACTTTGGCAGCAATTTCCCTTAAAGAAATTAAAGAAGTTGAATTATTTAGTGTTGGTGAGAGCACGGATATACATGTTAGGTTTTCTTTCCTTATTGGGACATGAAATTAACCTGCATGTTATTTTACAGAGACTCATCCTAACCCTAAAGGTGCACTGTGTAACTTTTCTATTAGAGGGTCCACTACTGCTTGTCTCCATGGAGAAGTTATTGCTTTGTCAGGAATTTTCCACAGTGTGATATTAAACTTGCCAACTCCATGGAGACAAGCAGGTAATCCCACAAACCCAAGTTACAGGTCAGATCTATGTAGAGGTGAGACCCTGCAATACGAACGCGTGTTTTGTAAGGTATTTTCTTGACAATAAAAACACTTGTAATTGAGAAAATGCAAGATAGAGAACTGTAATGCCATGCTGTGGAACATTACAGACAAACCCTTTAACATAAACCTTAATCTTAACATATCTGAACCAGTATCTTAATTTTAAACTACTTTGTCGATCTAATGTTGAAGGATGTAGTACCTCACGAGTGTGGTCCCCACCCAGCAATTGTGATTAAATAAAGGTTAATGGCAATGACAAGTTTTGTTGCACTTCATATGTGTACTGACAAACAAAAAAACACTGCTTTGGCCTTTCCTTTTCATAACTCATTTTGAAAGCAATTAGTGAAGAATAAATTAACAATGATGTTTATACACGGCAACAGAAATAAACATGTTCTTAGCAATGTTTGAGGTTAATGAAACTTTTCATCAACTCATTATAACTTATAAACTGAAGTGTTTCATTGTGTTATTTATTTATTCTATTTTATATTCTTCATCAATATGCACATTATATAGTCACGCATATGGGGTTATTTTTTCAGTAATATATCATACATCGCTTATGTTATGGCAACAGGCTTGAAAGTATGCTTTGAAAGGGTCATTGACATAGTAGACTGTAGCGCTGTAGTCCTATAGTTGTTTAGTTGATTAATTGGACCATGATGTCGAGCATTTTTTTGTAATGGACTATTATTTTATCAGGATTATAAGTATTTATATATACCACAGCAGAAAGAAGAAGGCATGGGGTAACTTCGTGGGGCAGTTTAAAGGTCCTATATTATGCTATTTTCTGATCTGTGTTATAATGTTGTTTCATTCACACGTTTAACACACAAAACATGCAGGTTGAGTTCTTCTCTCAAACTGAAGCTGTTTTAAATATCCATACACCTTCACTAGTTGGCTTAAAGTTCACAAGAGTTTTGCATTACTTCTAGTTTTCTAGTACTTATTTGAATTAGTTCGTGCAAGAAATCCTAATCTGCAACAGCTAGCTCCTTTTAGTCCATTAATCGATGCACAGGTCATGTCTTCAGTCAGCCAAGAATTTATCTGACGAGAAGATTTCTGTTTTAATGTTTCACCTGTGTATGTGAGCGAAACGTGGTGCAGTGCGTTGTTGTGTGAGCCTGTTGGTGCAGAGGCTGGGCAGTGGCTGGAGCTGAATGGTAAATGGCTGCGTTGTGTCCCCAGGGACCTGATCAAAGTGTTCAAGTGGTGGGTGGACCGCATCGTGGACGCAGAGCATCAAGATCACATCCAGCAGGTGCTGAAGGTGAGACTGCATCAAAACACACAGAGAACACACACAAACTATACACAAAGCAGACAAAATCATGCATAAAACACACTCAAAACAGACACAAACTATCTATTATTTACAATCAAAACACATCACATTAACAGTAAATGATGAAAAAGCTGTGTACTTAAGTGAGTTAACCTATCCCTCTAACCATAGCCAAATTAACTTCTCCTTAACCTAACTCTAATCCTAAACATAACCTGGTTGTGGAAAAAATAAATTGCCAAAAATTAACATTTGTTATCTTAGCCATTGATGCACAGTTGTGGTTGTGTGGAATAACTTGGTTGGGAAAAAATTAGGCCCCCAAGTATGGTCCTTTTTTTATGAATATCAGTTTGAAATTCTGATCATTCTGATAATATGTTTTAAAAATTCCAAATTCAAATTACATTTTTTGAAATCCCAAATTTTAAAATGAAGATATTGACCCAAATTTTGCACAAGTCCTTACAATGTGCGTTAAATTAAGCAACAAGCACATTGAAATCACTGTTCTGCATTTTAAAACAAAGCCATACAAATCTAAACATCCCTGTGTCACGCAACACTGCTAATGTATGCCCATATAATCTGTGAATATATTCAACATATAGCTTTATAGCTCCTGTTACATACTCTCATATACATATTTAATGCTTTGGTTTATTCAGTCTTACACAGAGTATACACGCTATATAATGCTGTCAAAAGAGTAGCTTCACCACTCTGCCTCTCATCTATCATTCAATATACATTTGGCAACCCTGTAAATAATACTTTGTTGTGCAGTTAATAATAAACGAGAGATGCACCGCAGTTGTACATGCAGTTTATTCATGTGTGTGGCATCCAAGGACTGCGGCTTACAGTGGTTTCCTTTTTTTTATCTTCATTTAATCAAAACCAAGTGAAACAGTTTACAACGTCAACATTGTACATACATCGTGTACCTCAGATACATCATGTTGTAGTGAAAGGAAAAGAAAAGGAAGCAAAGACTGACTGGGAGATAGGGGCATGGGGGAGATCCTGGATGGATGATTCTGTCTGGAATATTCATGTTTTTGTGTGTGTGTGCGTGTTTATGTGTCATAGCACTCAATTAGAGGAAGAACAAAAAGTGTAGAGTGGTTTTCAGAATAGAGATGCCTTGAAATCGTGCATATATTTTGGCTTTGATCAAACCTCTCACACAATTCTCACAATTTACTGTATTAACTCATCAGCAACCAAACACATTCATCTATTGTCTAATTTATTGTCCATTTATTTATTTCATAAATTGTAGTGTTTCTAAATAGGCATGCCACAATATAACATTTTAATGCTACGATTATCATGTGAAGAAACATACAGATTCATACAGAAGTTATTATAGGGACAGTCCACATTATTTTCAACTGTATCCCCCGGTTAAGGTGTGGAGATGACGACAATAGACAGAAACAGACAAATGTTGACCAAACAACAGTGAATAATTGGATTAAAATTCTAGAATTGGCGCTTTTGTACAGTTCTACATCTAAATAATTGCAATTTACACGTAACCAAATAATCTTGACACCCTTTTTCCAAACACAGATCTTTATTCATCAGATAAACTATAATTACACCATGCTTTTCACTTCATACATGAGAAGAAATTAAAGTCAAACTCAATATCTTAACACTGTCACTGATACGATCTCTCATATTATGTGGGATAAGGGAATAAATACATGATAAGTACTGATGACTCTCTTCTCTTTAGGCCAGCGAGTATATCTTCAAATACATCATCCAGTCACGGCGTCTCTTCTCTTTGGCCACCGGGGGGCAGAATGAGGAGGAGTTCAGAGTCTGTATCCATGAACTCTTCATGTCCATCCGCTTCTTCCTCTCCCAAGAAAACAAAGGCACAAGTCCAGTCGCACAAACTCAGGTAAGGCTGTACAATATGTTTGTGTAATTATGAGGGCATTTTATAAGGGTTTTCAGACATAATGGCACCAAGAACTGAGTCTCTGCAACCCTCCCTGGTGATACTTTGCAGCTGACGTCATCAACATTTCCTGGGGGTGTGATACTAACTGAAGGCACTGCTCTGTCTGATGCCCTGTTACTCAAGTTAGAATTTAATCTGAGCTTTGTTTTGACCATAAAGATTACATTTATCTGGAACTACAACAGGTGATTTGATGTGTGCTGTTAAACAACTCTTACACACTCCACAATCCCAGTCCACAGTTTTTCATTTAGTCACTTTCTCCTTTTTTGCAGAAACTCAAACACTGAAACAGCACCATGAACTCACGGATTGATCAGTCTCCTGAAAAATATATTGTTGAAAGCAGTTTTTTCCAAACTTTTTTTTTCTGGGGACCCATATTTTAAAAGTCACAAACCTTTGCGACCCAAGTCAATAGACATTATTTGTAAATCACAAAATAAATCTGTGACCATTATTGAACAGTACTGAGGATATTTCATTGTTGACTGGGTGATCGTTTCTCTCTGAACTATTAGTATTACTAAGTTTTAAACAATGGTTTTCCCACAGAGTGGCTGTGTAGCTGACCCGGTCTTTGGGAAACTATGGTTTAAAGGATCTGAAATTAGTCAAATATGCATATGCTATTTTAAAACTCCAATGTTACATAAGAAAAATAAAACTTTCCCCCCAACTTTCTTACTTTCCCAAGAACCTGGCCTGCATCCCTTTAAGGACTTGTGCTAATTCAGTTGCGATAGGTGCGAAATTGTCTGTAATTGAATTTCCTGCTGCTCCGGGCTCTTCAGTCAGAACTGGATTTTTTTTAAAGTGCCCATTTTTTCCCCACTTAGCTGTGGGAGGTGGGCGCAGCAGGCAGCCGCCTTCACTGATTTTCAACAAGAGCAAAACAAACAAGCTAAAGAGGCTTGAGTAATGCATAATTACACACTACTGCAGTGGTTCATGTGTTTTATACAGCCATGTGTGGGAAATGGGTATACATGTGTTTTCCTGGAGGTTTTGGTCATATTCTCTAGCTTCCCATAACTGTTTCCTTCTGGTGCTCTGCTGATAATTTTCCCAAGCATTTTACTAACAAAAAGTAATATGAAACTATGACTGATTGGCTATTATAAAAAAATAAATAAAAATCAAGATTAATTTAAGTATATTGCTTATTAAAAAACATATTTAAAAATAGGATAAAAATAATGAATGAATACAGGAATTTCAGGCATTTCAAAATATATTTAAGTAGTCCAATTGAGGCAGGGTAATTTGTTGTCAATATTGCTCTAAATATCCTTTACATTTGCTAATGACAGACGCTCTTAATTCATCCATCTATCCATTTTCTTCTGCTTTATCTGGGGCCAGGTTGCGGGGGCAGCAGTCTAAGCAGGGACTCCCAAACCTTCCGAGGTTCGACTATCGGATTTTCCTCTCCACTAGACTTTACCCGGGAGCCTGAGGAATCTTAATTCAATTGCAATTATTCTACACCCTCTAACCTTCATAATTTAGCACTTCACATTCCAGCCAGTATGGACCAGTGCTTTTCTTTAATCCGTATAATCCCTAAACATAAATTAATTGGTATTAGACCAAATCAATTCCGGGCTAACACAGGAATGGTACACTCTAGTGCTTGTCTTGTCCCTGACCACTCAATTAAACCGAGTTGTACTGCAAGACTGCTGTTAGCATCTGAAAACATCAATACATAGATTTGTGTTAAATAAGTAATTATTTCAGTATCGATGGGTCTTAGTTGTGGTTATATTGACCACTAAGGTGTATGTTGTGTTTTTTTCCTTTAGGCTGTTTTCCTTCGGACATTCCCTGCGGTGTATGGAGAGTTACTGAAGATTTTTACAGTGAGGGAAGTGGCTGGTTTCGTCAGGGAGACACTGGCGAGTTTGCCTACCACTGTTCAAGCAGAGTGCCCCCTAGAGACCATCAAACTGCAGTGCATTGCTAAGACAGTGGAGAGCCAGCTGTACATCAACCCAGGTAAAGGCACATTTACGTACACTGTAGACTCATGTTTATTATCAGGGGCATTTTGCATAGTGTTTTATTGGACTTGGACTCAAAAAATTATTTAGGCTTCTTCATTCTTGCATTTATAATACAAACATTTACCACAAATGACAACAAAAAGTGAAGTAAATATAAAAAATACAGATGTTTTGGTGTCCATACTTCAAACTACTTGACTCTACCTGAAACATTATCACATTTTGTGGTATTTAATATGATTACAACTTAATTTTGATTAGAACAAATAGAAATCAGTGAAAGAATACAATAATAGAGCTTCAGTTAGTTTGTATGCCATGTGTACATTTCCGGCCGTTCTACAACAATTATCTTTAAATATGAAACAGAATCTCAGGGCTTGTTCCATGGCCAATTTATTTTTGACTCAGAATTCTGCTAAATTACAACATCTTATAAAAAAATAATTAAAAGGTTGCAAAAATGGCTGATTAAAACTGAAACAAAATGAAAATTAATCTTGCAGTGTAACCTTACAAGCTGTTTTTTCTAGGCCTGTCACAACAAATACTATTTGCTCAGTACATATAACAATCATTTTTGGGGGTCAGTATTTATCAGGAATACTTTTTCTTTGCACTAGTAAAAAAGTCAGTGCTACGATCAGGTTTGAGCCGTAAAGGGTTAGACTTCTATCTACATTTTACATATATATGCATTCTACTATTTATTTATTGCAGCTCAGATCATGTTTTTTTTTTTATCATATTGTACATGTAGATTTACATTTTTGGGGATAATCCTGCTTTATGGATTGGTTTCAATATTGTTTTATCGTATATATTAACTTCAGCACTAGACATTTCTACACTTTTGCACTTTTTAATTTTTACATTCAATTCACGTTTTGCGCCATACAATGACAATACAAACTCAAGACGCCTTTTAGCACATTTCTAATCTACTGCCATAATACCGTCATCAAGATTCAAATAAAATATATATTGTGATGTTCATTTTTGTCAATATCCCCCACCTCGACTCTCTAAGTAACAAACATCTCATTACACACGTCTTGGGGGGAGTTGGCAAACAGCACAGTATGAAATAAACTAAAATAAATAGCTGGGGTTAATGCATGTGCTCTGCTGTAATTAATGAGTTTATATTAGCGCTACATGTCCGTATTACCATGTTCAGGTGTTCCCCCCTGTGGTGCCATCATTTCTCCACACTCTGGCTGAATGCAAGCCCACAGAGCGCCATGTCATTTAATTATTCTTAATAAAAGCAAATTATCGAAGTGTGTTTAGTGTTTATTTATATTCCGCTCCCTAAAGGCTTCCACTGAACAGGAAAACGCATCCGTCATTCTGTTCATATTAATAAATAGCGGGCATTACACCAAGGAACCTTTAATTATTACAACATATTTAAAAGCTTCCACCGTAGAAATATGAAAGCTTGTTTGCAATACAGGACTAAATTCTTACTGTACTCCAGTCAACTGTACTACAACTCACTCTCATGTAGTATATAAACTTTAAACCAAAACCTAATAATTTAAAATGGTCAGTATTTAGCTTGGATTTTCAACCCTTTGTCAGTAAATGTTTGTTGTTTGAGGTGTTAATTCTGAATACACTACCGGTCAAAAGTTTTAAAACACCCTAATTTTTTCCAGTTATTTATTGCAATTCCAAGTCATGCAAGTCCAATGAAAAACTTGAAATGGTACAAAGGTAAGAGCTGAACAGTCAGAGGCTAATAAAAAGATAACGACCCAAAATACAAGTCCAAGCTCTGCCAAAACTATCTCAGGAAAAAACAACAAGATGGTGAGCTTGAAAACTTGGAGTGTCCAACACAGTCTCCAGACTTAAACCCCATCGAGCTGGTTTTGGGATGAACTGGACAGAAGAGTGAAAGACAAGAAACTTACAAGTGCCACACATTTATGGGAACTTCTGCAACAGACTAGAGAATATTTGATTTCTATTGTAAAAAGAACGAGTGTGATCAGCTGTTATATCTGTCAAAGGTGGACACTTTCACGAATCAGAAGTTTAGAATATGTTTTGGTGAACAGTAAACAATAAACAGTAAAAAATGAGAAAAAAGTGCGGTGTTTTAAAACTTTTGACTGGTAGTTAAGATAATTTAGTAAAGTTTTTTTTTTCTTTTTTTTTTATGTTTTAATGACAAAAAAAAAAAAAGAAAGGAAAAAAAAAAAAAAATCTTGAAAATTATAATTAACAAACTATACCAAAAACGTAATTATATTTTGGTGATTTTGCACAGCTCTAACCGTATGTCAAAGCTACCATATTCATTGTCACCTGTATCACCTTATCCCACCACTTACTTTGACTTCTTTTATTTTATTTTATTTTTTTACTTAGACTTTATTGATCCACACAGGAAATAATTTGCACACAGTAGCTCACACATTACAATATATTATAATAATAAAGAGCAAACATAATAAATAGTAATAATACATTCTAAATAAGTTGCAATAGTAGCAAATAGCATAATTAAAGGAAGGTATATATAAAGTAAAGTAAGTAAAAGTAAAATATGCAAATACAGTATTACAAATATAGCTCAGCTTATGTAAGAGGTTGTGAAGAGAAACAGTGCAAAAAATAATAATAATAATGATTGACAGGACATAGGGCTGTGTATTACATATGGGTGTATTGTTGTACAGTTATATAGAGTATAGTATGAATAGTCCTGTATCTCTCACTGTTTGAGCGGAGCTGTAGAAGCCTGTTTAAGAAAGAGCTCATCTGTCCCTCTATAAATATATCCAAATAATTCACCATATTAACCTATAAAATCTTTCCTAAGTTCACGTCTTTATTTTCTTTGCAGAGTCGCGATGCATCTTGTTGCCGGTGGTGCTCAGACTGCTCCATGCACACATGAAGGAGCAGAGGGACCTGGTGATGTGTGCACGGATCCTCACCAGCATGTTGTCTCTCATAAAGAAGGAAGAGAATGGAACCACAGTAAGTAATGGACAGGAAAAATTATGAAGAGAAGATTTTTTTATGTTATGTCCTAGTTATAGTTTAGGTCTTATGGACTTACACACATACTCCTCATAAACATTGAGAGAACTAATTTTTGAACCAAACCTAGATTAGAAGAAGCCTAAGTCAAGATTTTTTGGGAGATCAAACCAGGACCAGACCAGAAGAAGTGTGAACACAGCCTTGGATTCACACAGATTCTCTCTTGATTTAGTCCTTGTGTCCGCTTCTTAATTGCCACAAACACTGCATTAAACTTTGGACTAAAGAGAGACTAATCCTGGAAGTGAACTGGATTTCTGTTTTCTGTCTGGATTAGACCAGAACTAAACCAAGACTAGAACAGGACCAAACCAAGTCTATCAAGACTAAAATTAGCTCAAACCAGTACTAACAAACTTACCCCTAGAAGCCCTTACTTCTCAATTAAGATGCAGTTTACATAATTAAAAGTGCTAGTTTGAAAGAAAAAAATTTTACGAGATAATATTTGATACAAAAAAGTACGCCAACCTCTGTAACTGACAATTTAAGAGTTTTTAGTAAGAATAAAACACATTATTAAGGACTTTTCCAGGATACACCCTTTAAAATAAAAATATAGTGCTTCAGTGTATAGAAAGTAAGATACATTTTATTGTTGGATCACTACTAGTCACCTTGTGTTGTGATCCAGCTCGCTAGGGTCAGGGAAGTAACACAAAAAAAAACAAGGTGGAGAATGGAATAAATGTTTAATTAACAGGAATGTAAAAGGGTAACTTAACAAAATAGACTTAAATAGGTGAAGAAAATAACCTAAAATAGGAAGTAAAATAACAGGATTAACATACAACAAGTTTTATCCCTAAAAAACAGCTCACATAGGTCTATACAAAAACGAGTGATTACACTAAGGGACACACACAAAACTAAAACACAAGTGCCCCAAAGTAAAACCACATAAACCCACAAACAGAATTGAGTGACAAAATAAAAAGGCACAAAACAGAACTAAACTAACCAAGTGTCTCAACACAAAATGACATCAGACACATACTAGTACACAACGAGTGACTGACACTAAAGAGACACACAAACACAAAATGGCAGACTGACCACCAAGGCCGGGAAAACCTAACGGGTGCTGGCAATCTCCTTAAATAGCTGGAGCAGGCTGGAGGTAAAACAGGATTGGCCAAGTGTAGAAGTGTCCCACCAATCACAGACCATGGCTCCCACAGCGGGAATCAGGACAGCCAGCAAAATAAACTAAAACACACACACACACAAAAAAAGTCAAAATTGGAGGCCTGGGACCATAACATCTTGTCTTCTTACTGCATTTTCCGCACCATTTGAAGCCTCCAACCCCATCAAAAAATAACTGCGCGACCCACAATCCAGAGCGCCCTATACACGTATCCACTCGGGTGTCCCAGCACGACTTCAGTAAACTACAAAGCCGCACCACCCGCAGAGCACGCAAACACACACGGAGCAGACAGCGACCGTGCAGGGAAAAACACCTGCAGCCACACTCATCACTCCACGCCGCCAAGGAATGGAACACAGGAACGAACCGAAAAAGCGAGTGCAGTGTGCCACTTCTAGCCACAACTGAACAACTGAGTCACTGCGAACACGTCAACAATCCAGCGGTCCCAGACAGCACCCTCCCTACACGCCACAACTGAACAAAGCCCAGAGTCACCGTGAACGCGCCAAACAAAGTCCGACTGAGCCATCTAACTGCTGTGTTTAGTTTAAAGACCGGTGCGGTTTATTTGTGAAAAAAGTTCAAAAATAGTCCATTCAATGACAGTGCGCCTTATAATCCAGAGCTCCCTATAGTGCAGAAAATACAGTACTTGCTAGTCTTCTATATCAGACATTAATGAAGATAAAATACATGAAAATACATGATCTTAACTCAAATAGTGTCTCAAAAGAACACAATACTTTTAACTTGTCCTTTTGAGATAGGTTTGGTCCTTTTCTAGTGATGTTCTAGTCCTGGCCTGGTTCACATTTAGTTTGGGGTTTACTTTTAGTTTTATCCCAATTTTTTCATGTTACATTGGTAGATTATGTTTTAATATGTTTTCAAAAAGAGAGAGAGAAATATACATTTTCCATCTTTCAATTTATTTTGTGTATCAACAATTAGCTAAACAAATTGAAATCATCTCATGACACTGGCTTTAGTCTCATCACATTTCCCCAGCTAATACATACCAACAGATTGCTTTGTTTTGCCTGTATGGTTAATTAGTCCTGGTAACTAAGTCACTGGCATGGGGGCTGTTTGGTGGGCATGGGCGCTGTTTGGTAATGAGAGCCATTCATTTGCACCGGGCATTGTTAAAGTGGCACTCACTCCAAACCCTGCGTATGTGTATTCCATATTTGTGTGTGTTTGGGGCTAACTGGGGTCTTCCCGGTTTGGTCTAATGGTTGGCAGAGGGGTTAGCTTGTGGTAAAGGTGCCCAATAGGGGATTATAACACCCACACATAGACTGGCAGTGCCTCTAAAGGGAAGTGACAGCAGTGCCAGCCAATGTGCCAGTCTGAAGCTACTTCTCATTACGGCCGCGTCCAAGATCTGTCGGTCTTGTCTGGGGGAGAGAATAGAGGGAGACACATACAAACCCACCAGTTTATTTTCCTCGCTGTCTCTCGTCTCTTCTATTTATATTCAAACAGTTGCATTGGCTGCTCCTGCTTAAAAACGGGAATATCTCACAGTATTGTCAGATCTGCAATTGAATTAAATTTTCAGTTAATTGGCATCAGTGGAAATTGAGGATGGTCAATTGTAATTGGATTTTGAAAACCAATTTTTGTTATTCTATTTTAAGCTGTTAATAAAACAGTAAATACACACAAGCCTTTTTCCACAAGCTCCATGCACCATAATATATTTCTGTATTGATCTCCAATTAAGAGGATAAAAGAGAAATATTATAAAGCTACATAGCAGTATTTTTTTTTACGTATGTATAATTGATTCTTGTGAGCTTTATCAAATCAAATCAAATCAAACTTTATTTATAAAGCACTTTTCATACAAAATGCAACACAAAGTGCTTTACAGTGATACAATTGATTTATTTCCTCAAAACATACCTGGAGTTTTGCTTTCATTCACAAATCATTAGCCTAATAGCATAGTTGCCTAAGTCATATTTCAGCATTTTCGGAAAACTAGAAAAAACACATTTTTTAGCAAGCACATTGGTATTTTTTTATTGATATTGTATAGAGATGACTAAGGCTGACCGTGATTTTAGACTCTAACAAGTGTTCTGGCTCAGGACATAGGCAATAAGGCAGGGTGATGCAGCAGTGGGAGGAGACTAATGTTAGACAGATAAAAATTAGGTCTCAAGTCTCGCAATACGATGTCGTCACGGTATGAACCTCACGGTACAATATTTATTGTGATATCATGGGAAAGCTCACGATATGGTGGAGAGGCTCACGATTAGGAATGTAACAATATCCAAATCTCTCTGTACGATATTTTCACGATAAACATGCAATATTTTGTGGAGGCAAACAAAACTGTGAATCGGCTACTTTTTCCTCTTAAAATGCCTTGACAAGACTTAATCCAAAGAACTAAGACTTAAAAGTGCTTAGAACTGTTAATTCTTCATGTAGTCTATACTGAAATGATCATGGTCTATGTAGTTTTTTTCTGTCTTTTTTCTTCTATTGCTGCACCATAAATCTTAATTTAAACAAAGCGACTTGAAATATATATATATATATATATAGATAGATAGATATAGATATAGATATGACATACTGTGACGGTCCACGATATTATCGTAAGAACTTTGACGATAAGATATCACGATATTATCCCTAATAATTATGCATTTGTTTTACACAGAGCTTTTCCGGGCACTCGAAGTCACTTAACATTTTGCTTCCATACTCGGTGATAGCAAGCTACTGTTACCCTGGGGTAGAATGATGGAAGCAAGACAAGTCCAATCTGCACCATCTGCCCCTCTGACCACCAATAACAGAGACAGAGATACTCAGACACACACAGAGACACTCACACACACACACACACACACACACCACATTCATCATTCATACTAGGCAAGGTGAGTGTAGTAGTGTCTTGCCTTCTCAATAGAGTCCACAGAGATAAACACAATTTACTAATTTACTGAGAAAAATAGTCTGAAATAGTACTGCAGATTTAATTACGAATGCTGATTAACTGCGTTTCCTAAGACACTGCCAAATCAAACCAAAATTGTCTAGTCACTCCTAACTCATTTCTCCTCTGTCACTGTTACAGGAGCCAGTGGTCTCGGAGGAGGTACAGCTAATTGTGGAGAGCCTTCTGGAAGTTTTAATGAGGACCATTCTGGAAATCAGCAACCGCCCCCAGCCCGCCGGCCCTTCCATGAGACTGCAGTTTCAAGATGTCACAGTTAGTACCATCTTGTCTCCTCTTGTGTAACGGTTTTGGGACCTGACAAAAATGTGCTGGAGTAATTATAGATTTAAACTTGACTTGCTGCCATGGCGACTTTAATCTCACATCCAGTATTAACATTAATGGGGATAATTAAGATTTATGGGACAATGCGGCGTCAAGGGGGCAGTGATGTGGGTATTAACGGGGTAATCATCACGACTAATGATCCAATCAGAAGTGAGTCGTGCTATTGCTAATGATGAAGTGGAGATGGGAGCAGGAGTTTAATCAAGGTCTTGGATTTGAACGAAGCTTTACTTCAGAATCATTTAAAGTGCTTATGGTAAGTCAGACTAAAACATTTTTTTTATGAATTTATTTGACAGGGATTTAAAATACAGGAAAAAAAAAAGAAAAAAAAAACTACAAATGGCAACAACCCATCCTGAGGTACACAGCTGAGACATGGCTTTGTAACTTTGCAGTGAAATTGCACTGGGGGTGTTCTACATGTATGTGTATAGCAGAATGTTCATCATGTCATTAGTTTATTTATTTCATTCAGAAAGTATAAAAAAAAAACTAGCCAGGCCGGCGCCACCTAGTGCCTCCACTCAATTTCATTTCTCTCCAGCGACTAGCTCAGGAATCAAAATACATTAGACGGTTCGCAAAAACCGCTGAAGTGCGAGTTCGGGCACCAGCCAATCAGCGAAGAGCCATATATTCTGTGTTGGCAACGATTCCCGAGATCGAGGATTTGAAGCCGGAACAAAGAGAATGTTTACTGAATTTTATCAAGGGGAAAGATGTTCTTGCCCTTCTTCCTACGTGATATGGGAAAAGCTTAATATAGCAGTTAGCCCCGTTAGTGGCGCATTACATACGTCATGACCAAATAGCAGAGATTGGTTAAATAAAAAAAAGTACCCACCTACTGTTGAGCGAATTAATTCTAGTGCTGCAAGGTCAGACGGTTTCTACAAAGTGAAACCTGCTGATGAATTAGGCTATAAAGACATCAACAATGTCACAACATCAGACATACAAAAATGAATGAAAAAGAGCAGAAAGAAGAGTCATCTTATGTTCTCTGCCCCCTTTTCACTTTTCCAGACAGAACATCAACACCGATAGTTACTTTAAAACATTTCAAATCCATACATTTCAGTTCAGTCACAATCAAGCACATTAATTGCAAACAGAAATCTTCACTATTATGCACAACGACTTAGTTTCCTTTTTCATACATACACATTGCATTGGATTTTATGTGTGTTTTAAATGCCATTATTGTACTTGATTCTTTTATATGTTTGTCTAAACTATTCCATAAATGAACTCCATTCACAGCGACGCTTCACTCCATAACCTTGGTTCTGAATCTGGGTTTTTTAAACATTTAGGTTTCTATTAAACTGTAGTGGCTTTTTCTCATCTCAAACAGTCTTTGAATATTTACAGGTAATACATTGCACTTTGCTTTATACATTTCTCTGAGGATACTTAAGTCAACAATATCATGCATTTTCAGCACTTTAAGTTGAACAAATAATGGGTTGGATGTTTCTCTATGATGACTGTTGGTGATAATTCTCAAGGCCCTTTTCTGTAAAACAAATAATGGCTGCAAGTTTTACATGTTGACCCCCCAAATTTCCACACAGTACAACAGATATGGTGCAATTAGTGAGTTATACAAGGTCAACAGTGCTGCCCTATTTAGTGAAAACTTTACTTTATGCAGCACAGCAATTGCTTTGGACATTTTGCCTTTAGTGTAATTTATATGAGACCTCCAGTTTAGACCTTCATCAATCATGACTCCTAAAAATTTAGTTTTGTTTACTCTTTTAATCCCATCTATTTCTAATATTATGTCATCTTTTTTTTTTCTTTTTATTATTAAATAAAATGAAATTTGTTTTTTTAGCATTAAGAATCAATCCATTTAAATCAAACCAATATTTACCTTTTCTTAGCTTTTTGTTTACTTTATGTCATGAGCCTGTGTCCTGAAAAACTGTTGGCTCATGCTCACTAGCTTGTGACTGTAATATTTGAGAGAGACATTACAAATCATCTCACCTGTTGTAGTTCCAGCCAAGTCAGCTCTTTCGGGTTAATTTGGGTTTCAAAAAAGCTCAAAAAAAAAAAAAAAAAAAACCCTTACACAGGGCAGTACCTATAGTTGCATCGCACCCCGAGGGAATGTTGCTTCAAAGTGTTAATTGTGCTCCACTAAATATTAAAACAAAATCAGTTTTTAGGTGCTTTTGAGTCATTATATATTCATGCATTTGTGAAAATACCTGTAAATCCGTTCCATAGATTCAGTGGTAGTGACTGCTCCAGTATTAGCCGAGTGCCCTGCGTGACGTGTGCAAAAAACAATAATTGTCGCTTCGTTCCTTCTTGGACATGGGCGGCAGATGTGACATAAGTGGGGGTAATTATCCAACATAACCCTCACCTAGCAACCACACTGTTACCACACACTCTGTTAAACACAGTAATTATGATCGGTGAATAATCTGACAATACCTGTATGTATCATTTTAAGATAACTAACAAAAAAATTGTACTCTTTTGCCTCAATAATGCCTGCTTTTATGTCCCTGTGATTGTTTCAGTGCTACCCCCCTGTAATCTGCCAATTTTATCTCAAACAACCAACCTCTCAGGTGCAAAACTGTGATTATATGATTTACGCTGCGTATTATCCTAACAAATTCAATAATATTTAGAGAATCACCTGTCATCTACACTATTTTCAGTGGGGTTTTTTTTCTCTTTCAGGGGGAGTTTGTGGCGTGTTTATTGGCTCTTCTCCGACAGATGAGTGACAGACATTACCAGCAGCTGCTCCAGGCCTTCAGCAGTAAAGATGACCTGAGGGTATGCCACCTGTCTGTCTGTTTGCATGTGTCTGTCTGTGTGTGTGTGTGTGTGTGTGTGTCTGTGTGTGTCTGTGTGTGTATTCAATATGTGGGTTTTCCAAATTTAGAGTTCACATTTTGTTTAGACCTAGAGCTATGCGATTTTGCCTGAAAATATTTTTTTACTCCAAAAATTTGTTTTTTGATTTAATTTGCCCACACCCCCCTGTGATCACTAAACATATTTAACCCATTGACTATTGGAGAAGTCTTCTATGTATGCGAAAAAACAAACTATTGCATTAAGCATGCAGACCAAACATTATTGACGTCACTTCATTTCAAAGCATCATAGCTGCATGGCTCTACTTTGCTCCCTTTGGCTGCTCTGAGGGGCTTTTCTTGTATTTTCAGAGCAATTTCTAATGCAAGTAAGTGGAGGGAAAAAAATTGGAAACAATGAAGCCCACTTTTAGATCTGGTTTAGCCCTATATTAGACCTGGAAGAATCCTGTTATAGACCTGGTTTAGATCTGGTTGTTCTCTGGGCAGAGTCCTGCATGGGTACATTTTAGGAGACCCACAACCATTCAGTACAGCACCGCACCCACCCGTTAACCCGTGATTATATCAAAGTTAAACCTGCACCCGCATCACAGGCATTATTTACTGAGCAGAAGAAACATCGATTGAGATGTTGGACTTTTGCACCGCACACGCCACGGACTAAACCAGGACTAACCTAACCCAGGATTGATTCTAGGACTGAACCAGGACTAAAACAGGACTAAAACAGGACTGAAACAGGACTAAAACAGGACTAAACCAGGACTCACTGTTGGGACGGGCTCGGAGGTATGCCCGCTTAGGCCGTTGGTGACCGCAGGCGAAAGGACTGGCACAGAGCTCCGCGGTCCAGGGGGGCTAAGGGCAGCCGTCGCCCAATCACGCTTTGTGGACACCTTTGTGACCTGGTTTAGACATGGTTTAGTCCTGGTTTAGGTCTGGTTTAGGTCTAGTTTAGTCCTGACTCGCCCGTGTGTAATTGGATAAGAATAGATATGTCTCCCGGAGTCAGAGTCCCGCTCTGACTCCGGGAGACATATCTCTTCTTTGATTAAACTTGGTGTGAAAAGTTTGAGAGCCACTGTTATTTATATTACATTTGAATGAATTTAAAAACACTGACATTAGCAAGTATAGTTTTGGCATCATCACTTTTTGACAGTTGTACGTGTGTGATATTGTATAAACTTCACTTTTTATGAAATATTGCTGACAGTTTTCACCAAAAACTACAATGCACTTTTCTTAATATATACATATCCTTGGAGGTTGTTGTGCCTTTGCATTATTCAGATTTTGATATTCACAGCATCTCCTCACCGCTGGATGTATGAATATATTTGCATACAAACTATGTAAAGAGACAATATATTAAATGTCACACAGGGCAGATGCAGAGTTTTAGACTAGATGCTTCTATGGATGAGCTGCATATAAAGAAGACAGGGATGTTAAAGCGTGTAAACAAACTCAATGACAGGCGTTTTGCATGAGATTCTTGTATTAGTTTATCAGTTCATATTTCAGGCTTCTCTCAAGGGCTGAAGATTAAGGAACATAAAGTGCATTCTGTTTAGTGTAATGTTAATAACAAGAAGAATACATCAAACTGTTACACGGGTCTTTGCATATTTAAATGATTTATCCATAAATGATCTAAATGCTCACTACATCATGGCTGATACTTAAAGCCTCTTAAACTACTACCTGGGTAAAGTTAAAGATGCATTGTGCAACTTTTTACAAAATGGCATTAAACCTTTTAGGCATTTTTGAGCAATAAAACCATGTATAATGGATAAATGTAAGGTACTATAGATCTGCTTAATGTCATATTGCATAACATTTGAAGCAGAGCGAAGAGAAATATCCATAGAAACAAGAAGATGATGGAACCCCCAGCAAAAAAGTTGCATACTGCACCTTTAATATGAAATAAACCCATTTCCCATGTTATTAGGTTATGTTTTTAGGTTGACCTAATATTCATAAATTATCGGAAGACCAAATGAACTTTTTTCTGAACATTTTTCTGAACATTTTCCTCTGAACAAAAATTATTTACATAATTATTGTGCAAAAAATAATTAATGTACAAAAAACCCCCAAAACTATTAGCAATATATCATACAGCAGCCCACAATATCGATACTGTATCATCAAATTAAACTATACTATATTTTGATATTTTTGCACTTTCCTACTTCTCTCAAATGTTAATGCTTGTTGTTTATTTTATTATTATTTTATTGATTTGATTTTGAAGTCTGAACAGAAACCTATTTAAAACATTCATCACAAATGTTATCACAATACTTGTTACAGATTGCAATTATATTTTTTCATATTCGCAAATTCCTAACTTTTCCTTGTTTGTGTCCAGGACTTCCTGTTGCAGATCTTCACTGTCTTCAGGATCCTCATTCGACCAGAGATGTTCCCGAAGGACTGGACGGTGATGCGGTTGGTCACTAACAAGTGCGTTTGTGTCTGATAATTAGCATTTTAATTTACTATGTCTCTGCACATCAGATTAAATCCTGTTCTTTCTTCTTCTCTTCTCAGTGTCATCATCACAACAGTCCTGTATCTGTCCGATGCTCTGAGGAAAAACTTTTTAAATGATAAGTTTGACTACAAGGTAAGTCTGTGTGTTGGTGAGTGTATTATTTCTCACACTTCAACTTTATTCCCAATTTGGCTTTACATTCATACATTTAAAATAGCATTAATCCAGACTTCTTTTCATATATATACAAGTTAATTATTAATAGGGCTGGATATCATTAAGAAGTTGCTGATACGATACATACATACAAACGATTCGATATGGTCCAGTAAAAATTAAAGCTAAATCATGGTTGTGGTGCTGAAAATCTTTGTTAAATCACTTCTTGTGCAAAGTTAATATAAAACAAACCAATTTTAATCATCAAAATGGTGAATATGTCAAATGTGTTACATAAACGGGTTTCCTTCCTCTACACAAGCAACCAAATTCTAGTGCTGTAAAATAAATAACTGAGTAAAAAAATACTCTTTGCCGTATATCGATACAGCACCCCACGATATTGATATTTTTATATTTTATAGCTTATAAGCAAATTCCTGCTATGAGAGGAAGCTTTATTTATTGCACCCTATAATGAAAATATAAAACTATAAATTAGGTTGTAATTTAGACTACCAATTTTACTAAAATACAGATAAGATCATTATATTTAAGAACATTTTTAATAAATAAAACAAACAAATCCCCAATTTGGCGGGGTTTTTTTTGTTGTTTTTTTTCCCTGTCATCACACTAGGGAATTCCATAACTGTTAGTTGGTGAAACTCCTCTAAAGTACAGAGAAATTATTTTGTTGAAATCATGTTTAAAGTTTCAGAAAAATGTGTTTCTTGTGTCCAAGTTGTGCTGAACCTTTGGACTGAATTCCCCCTGGTGTGAGGTTTCAGAACTCTCCATTTCCTGCAATTTTCAACATATTTTACTACTTCTCTTCACAAAGTACTTCTTGATTGGTGCAAAACTATAATTCATATTTACAATGGTTAGAATCTCACCAAATGATGCCAAAATTTGAGAATCGTCTATCATACACCCTTTTACTTTGATTGGCGTACATGCTGTTTGTCTGTTTGCCTTAATGGACTTGAGGAAGACTTTTCAACTACAGGGACAAGACAAGATATTGTGAAAACCAGCTGCAAATAACCTAGTATTTTCACAAATATTTCTGAAATCTCACAGTTGATGGAGGAGTTTTTGTGCCGATTTGACAGGATGCTATCCCCGCTGTCATTTGCAGGTGTGGGACTCCTATTTCTATCTATCGGTAATATTTATCAACCAGCCCTGTCTGCAGCTTGAGTCCTTCTCTCCATCCAAACGGAAGAAGATACTGGAAAAGTGAGTTTTGTTTTCTGGATAATAAACACACACACAGACACACACACACACATACACATGTTGGGTTCCCATGCTTTTTGGGGAGTCAGTATGACATTAAACAGCTCTACCTTACATTTATTCAATTACAGGTGGTTTTATAGCTCTAAAATACCTCAAAAGCAGGGTCACCTTTCCACAGATCTGACCTGTATCTTGGTCTGGTTTGGTCTCCATGAAGATAAAAGGTTTAATACCGTACTGTGGAAGTTATGCGTAGTAAAAAGGAGCTGACAACTTCTCACATTTTAGACACAAAAAATCGTGTGTCGCTTTATTAACTGCACTAACAACTCTCAACAAACGGCTAATAACGATAAACAGAACAGTGTGCCTCAAACGTTAACGGGTCTTAAAGGGACCGCGACTATATTGCATATAGAGCACAAACCCAAAAACTAAACACTGAACATAAGTAAACATGTAATTAATATGTCTCCAGTTAGTGGTGAATTATGTATGTAATATGTATGCTAAAGGCACTACAGTACTATGAAACATTCCAGACAACGCAGTAACATCTCCACAGAGAAAAGCATTTGACGGACCCTCCACCAGAAAAGTTACATACTGCACCTTTATAATTACTTGCTGAACCTTAAAGGCCATGTACATGTTTTTATTTCATGTATTTGTATTTGAGCAAAGTTTGGCTCATTACACATATATTGTATAAGTAATTCTTGAGGTCAAAATAACTCAAACGTACTGTCTGCATCTAATTATAAACCATTCTGTTGTCCAGTGATCAGGAAGTTCACGTTAACATGCTAGTTGTTGTCTTTATCATCACGGAAAACTCTGTACTTATCTCTATTGCTGTGAAAAGCGCTTATAAACGCACAGTAGAGAATAATTAGGAGATTTGTAATATATATGGTAAGTGAGGAATAACTTTGGACCATTGCAAACTGTTTAAAATGAACAGTAGAAATCAAGTACTGTAACTTAAACTCTAACCTTGATCTATTTTAAAACGTATCTGAACTTAAAATCATGTTGCTGAACTAATAATAAAGAATTTACGACATGTTGACCTGATTTTTGTCCCTATAAGAGAGGCCGTCTGTATACACAGTGTCTAGTCCTCACAGTGTGATAAATACACACATGATTTGTATAAGACCTGAATGTGAAAATAGCGTTGCTCTTTACTCTGTGTCAAATCTAAAATCAGTCAAACACAGACTGCTCCCTGTAGGCCACAGACATTATAATGAGACCTTAGCCTGCCCCTGTCTCTCTCTATTTCGCCTGAAGCTAGCATGAATATTTGTATTATTTTCTTACAGGTACGGAGACATGCGGGTGATGATGGGCTGTGAGATTTTCAGCATGTGGCAGAATCTTGGTGAGTTTTTTTTTTTTTTTTTTTTGCATTCAGGTGCATGAAACTTTTCTCCTGGTGTTTTTTTTGTTTGTTTGTTTTTCCTGTAATATACCAAGGTGTGGCAATAAACTGATCTCATCTAACTTATTACCATATTTTTCTGAGTAGTCGCACCAGCCAAAAAATGTATAATGAAGAAAAAAAAAACATAAGTTGCACTTTTTGGGGGAAATTTATGTTATAAAATCAGAGACTGGAAACAGACATTTCATCTCCAAAGGCAAGTTATAGTAATGACAAGAGAACAGAGAACAACAGGCTGTTAACGTCACATATGACCAGTTCTTTAGATAAAAACTATAACATAAACAACAGAACATAACAAGTTTACCAAACTCTCCATCTCACTCCAAATCACTAAATCCAGTCAGTTCTTCATTCTCTGTGTCACTTCTGAGCAACTCCATGACCTCCAGAGGTAAAGAGAGCGCTGCTTCCTCTTCTGTGTAGCTGTTGTCAGACTCAGGATCAGTTCCATTGAGAAATATTCCAGCCTTTCTGAATCCCAACAGGATGGTTTCAGTTGCTTTTATGTTTGTTTAAATTTTAAATTGTCAGTGATACAGAAGTAATGGTGTAATCGACTGACATGATACCAGACAGGACAGTGGCTCTTTTGCTTTCTTCTGCAGCCAACATGCGCAGTAGAGTGTGAAGTGACAGTGGTACAGAAGCACACAAGCCTAGAGCGCCCTCTCGCGGCTGTCAGTGTGAAAATTTTAACATATAAGTCGCACCTGAGTATAAGTCGCAGGACAACCCAAACCATGAAAAAAAATGCGATTTATAGTCCAAAAAAATTGGTAATAATAATGCAGTAGATTTATACAGCACCTTTCCAGACATTCAAAGCGCTTTACATTGCATTATTCATTTTCTCCTTACCCGGTGGTGGTAAGCTACAACTGTACGCTTATCTGGGCTAGACTAAAGGGAGTGAGGCTGGAGGTCTGCACCATCGGACCCTCAGATCACCACCAGTGCTCACGCTCCACATTCATACCATGCAAACTGGATTGCCTCAGGACATAACAACAGTATGTACTAGATTAGGGGCATCGCTGACCCACTATAGCACCTGGTATTCCGAGCGGTCTCCTTTCCCATGAATAACCAAACCCACTGTTATCACTACAGGGTTGCCTCTCCACAGATCTGACCTGGGAAGTTTTGCGTTGAAACACATTAGTCTGTTTGGTGTATTTATTTCAGAATGTTTTGATTTTGCATTTCTATTAATTTTTGAATGATTTGTTGTATTGTTGTATTAGCAGTTTTTGTTGCAGTCATACTCGGATACTAGTACTTAACTTGTACAGACGTTAATACAGATTTTCTTTCCACTTCTGGTCTGCAGTCTTGAGACACTGAACATTTTGGCCTTCACATAAAAGCCTAAAAATATATGGCGAATGTGTTGCCACGGAAACTTGAATCTTCAGAACTGTTTGTGCAGATGTGGTCTTATTTTATTATTAGTTTTTTATTTTTTTCCAGTTTGTTTTTGGTTAAACTTTTAATCAACAGCGTCCAGTGTTAATCAATCCGTGGGTAGTGATCAGTAATTGCATGAAAAATGGAAAATAATAAATTTAATTCAAGTGCACCACATATTTCAACATATTTTCATGTATTTCTATTATTTCTTTTTTTTTGGCAAATTATCCAACAGACTCTAAGCTATGTTTATATGATGACAGTCTGAACAGAAGACACAAAAGTGGCGTCGCTTCTTCACTGTTTATTCCGCATTTAGACGATCGTTTTCAGGAGCAAATCTGCGTGATGTAAATGTGACGTAAACGCGTACACGATGTGAGCAGATCTGACCAGAGTTTTGCATCTTGGGCAGTATAGACGGAAACGCTACAACGGAGCATATTCAACTTTTGCACTCTGGAGGGTGGTTTCATATTTTTGTGTTTTTAAGTCCCCAAAATGCTGACACCGTCTAAACGAAAGGCATTTCCAATTAAATGTTTTGTTGTTTTTACCCCCAAGCGTTCTCGTGTAAACAGGCCCTCAGACCCTCTAATTTAAACACCCCATGCTCGTTCACGCCTGTTAAACCCCTGTCTCTCTCTCTCAGGTGAGCACAAGTTGAACTTCATCCCGGCCATGATTGGTCCATTCCTGGAGGTGACTCTGGTTCCTCAGCCCGACCTGCGGAACGTCATGATCCCCATTTTCCACGACATGATGGACTGGGAGCAGAGGCGCAGCGGCAATTTCAAACAGGTACACTCCAAATACAAGAAGCATTTGTGTTGACTTAGTAACTAGTTATTTATAATGCAGTTATTGGTTCATGAGCAAGGGTCATTAGCCATGGTGCTGATAATAAGCGAAGGCAGAATATAGTTCATTAGAATGGGAGTCAAAGTTGGTGTTAAGTCCAAATATAATTCACCATTCAACTTTGGAAGAAGAAAATATATATTATAGTAGTAGCTAGGGCTTTAACAGTAACCAAAATATTGTGATACTGTATCGTCAAAAGTATCTCAATAATATCGTGGACCATCACAATATATCGAATTACAAGTTTCTTTGCCTAAATTCATTGTTATGGTGCAGCAATATCTAAAAAAACTAAGTGAACTACATTGACCATGATCCTTTGCTCAGTTTTGGTGCAAACTACATGAAGAAATAGCAGTTCTAAGTACTTTTCAATATTAGTTCTTTCAATTAAGACTTGTCAAGGCATTTTAAGAGGAAAAAGTAGCACTTAGCACACATCCCTAGTAGTAGCAGTAATACATGTATTTATCTATCTATCTAGTAATAGTAAAAGGAGTAGCAGCAGCAGCAGCAGCAGCTGTTGCAGCAATTGCAGCAGTAGTTGTAGTAATAATAGAAGTAGTAGCAAAAATGGTAGTACTAGCTGTCATCAGATAGTATTTTGAATGTCAGATATACTTGGCGTCACTTCTAGCCTCCTCCTTTGGGTGATATCAGATCAGAGCGAGTGTGTCAGACATCACTAAGAGCCCAGTGACTGACATGAGTGATGAGTGCTGAGCTGTCTGTGCTGCTGGGGCCCTGTTCTTCATCACTCCTTTTTGAAGACGGCAGCGTTCTGTGTGTTTAAGTGTGTTTGAGCATTACTCCTTTTGGCCTGCAGGTGGAGTCTAAGCTCATCGACAAACTCGACAGCCTCATGTCCGAAGGCAAAGGAGACGAGACGTACAGAGAGCTCTTCAACAGCATGTGAGTGTGCTGCAGAGGGAGATAAGTGACAACTGCAGGGTTTGTCTGCGCTGTTAAGACACAACTACAGGAGAAATAGTCAATACAAGATGCTAAAATGCATCAGGATAGGGTCAAGGTCATTGGGTGCACTGACATAGCTAGAAAAATTTCATTAAGTTGATGTATCTGTTCCAGTATTGGTACTGGCCAATATAGACAATGATGCTTCAATATTGGTACTGACTGGTATCGATGTTATTTGATACTGATATTTTTTGCACTACCCCATTCTCTTTGTGTCGTTTTGAACAGAATAATAAGTCAAAATAGAAATATAAGAACATTTTATAGCTGTATATATATACACAGAAACATGACTAATTGTTTTATATCCCACTAATCCCACAAAGAGATACACACAATCTCAGATGTGTGTATATTTGCAGATCATCTCTTACTTTGTTTAGGTCCGGCTTGATTCCAGTTCAGTCCTTATGCAGACTTGGTTTAGTTTTGATCTATTCCAGGTTTAGTCCCAGTTAAATTTAAATGATTATCATATTTTTCAGACTATAAGTCGCTCTGGAGTATAAGTCAGACCATCCAAAAAATGTGTAATGAAGAAGAAAAAAACATATATAAGTCACACTTTTTGGGAGAAATTTATTTTATAAACTCAGAGACAAGGAACTGACATTTCATCTTGAAAGACAAGTTATAGTAAAAACAATAGAATAGAGAACAACAGGCTGTTAATGTAACATGTTATTCAGATAACTAGCATAAACAACAGAACAGAAGTTTACCAAACTCTCGATCTCACTCCAAATCACTAAATCTATTGAATTCTTGAATTCTTCATCTTTGTTGTCACTTCTGAGCACTATCGGTGCGATCGACTGACATGATACAGACAGGACATCGGCTCTTTTTTTTCTGCAGGCAACATGCACAGTAGAGTGAAGTGACAGCGGTACAGGAGTTATAGGAATAGCAGATACTGGTACACAAGCCTAGAACGCCCTCTCGCGGCTGTCAGTGGTAAAAAATTAACATATAAGTCATAGGACCACCCAAACCATGAAAAAGAATGCGACTTACAGTCCGAAAAATACGGTACACATATTTCACCATCTCATTGTAATGTAAAATAGTTAAGTTGTGAATTTACAGGTAAGTCCTTTCAAACCCTCCATTAGGTTCCCTCTCTCCTCTGTGAACAGCTCTTCTCCATCTTGTGTCCATGTTGTGCTTTTGCATGTGTTTGTGTACTCTGTGTTTGCAGTGTGGGTGTGTGTTCTTGGTTCTGTATTGTTTTGTTATAACTTCATATTTATCTCACTCATCTAAATGGAAATCACAGTTTAAGTCTGATTTCTAAACATTTTTCCTATATATATGTTCATCACTGCCACATATATCAAATACTATAAGTTTTAGCGTATATATGTGTTTATAGTAATTTTGTATCCATCAGTATTTCATTTTGTAGATGTATTTTTGATGTTTATAGTCGTAATTGTCTGTAAATGCATTAAGAATAAAACTTACAGTGGCTTTCTAGATATTTAAACACACTACTTGCATAATTGCAATCCATAGAAATGATTTATTTTTCATTGTATCACATTGCTGTATTTTAGTTAATTATATTATTCTGATTTATTCTAATTTATGTATATATTTTTTAGATTTCTTTTCCTTTCCTCTTAATAACTCCACTAACCCTTCGTTTGTGTGCGTGTGTGTGCTGGTATTAATCGTATTAATTTATTCCGCCTATGCTTCCCGCCTGGATAGAATTCCTCTGTTTGGTCCGTACCCTAGGTAAGACACCCTCCTCTGTTCTCTCAGTGTCGTCTTTGTGAAAAATAAGGAAAAAAAAATCATACAGAATTTTGGACATGTGTTACAATGTGGGCAAGAGTAAGTGGTTCTCAATCGCTGGTACATCTCATCTGGTGGTATTTAGGAATCTCTTGACTTTTGGGTTATATATGGCAGTTCAGTCAGTTTGTATTACTAGTTTTTTTTAGGATTTAGTACTTCTTCACATAATCTCCGTGTATTTTCAGTATTGCCATTGTTACATACTGGGTTTAGTCCTTGATTAGTTCTGGTTTATTCCCATTTGAGTCTGGGTTACTTCTCATTTTAACTTCCTTTTATGTTAGTTATAAAGTGCTTCTAGTCTGGGTTGGCTTAGTCCAGGGTTGATCCTTGTTTGGTCCTGGGTTAGTCCAAGGTTTGTTCTGGTTTATTCCCAACTGAGTCTGGGTTACTTCTCATTTTAGCTTCCTTTTGGATAACATATAGAGTCATACTATTTTAGTCACATCCAGTCGGGTTAGTTTTAGTCCAGACCCAGATCTGGTGGTATTCGGGAATCTTTTGCACTTTTGGTTAATATATGACAGTATAGTCCTGGATTAGTCCTGTTTTTTTCCAGTTGAGTCTAGGTTACTTTTCTTTTTAACTTTCCGGATTACCTATAGCACCTTGTATGTCTTGGGTTTAGTTCTGAATTAGTCCTGGTTTATTCCCATTTGAGTCAAAGTTTCTTCTTGTTTTAACTTCATTTTTGGTTAGTTTTAAAATTATACTATTTTAGTTGCACCTGATCTCAGTCGGTTTAGTCCTGGCTTGGTCCTGGTTTGGTCCTGAGTTAGTTCAGAGTTAGTTTATTCCCAGTGGAGTCTGGGTTACTTCTGATTTTAGCTTCCTTTACTTATAGAGTCATACTACTTTAGCTGCTCCTAGTCTGGATTGGTTTAGTTCAGGCTTGGTCTTGGTTTGGTCCTGGATTAGTCCCGGGTTAGTGCTGTTTAGTCCTGTTTTGAGTTATACTAGTGTACCTAGTCAGGATCAAAATGATCAAGTCCTGGTGTGGTCCTGGGTCAGTCCTCGCTATTTTCTGTTTAACTTCTGACCCGTTGTGGATTAGTTCAGTTAAGACTGATATGGTCCTGGGTTAGTCCTGGTTCATTCCCATTTTAGTCCTACTCCTAGTCCTTTCTTCTATTTCAAACTACTTTCAGCCTCCTTGGCCGACTGTTTACAACAACACAGGCTGGACTTAAGCATAGGTGACACTGGCTTTGTCCTCCTATGTTTTGCTTCCTTCTTTTCCTTTGGTCCATTGCCTTTCTTTCCCCATAGCTCTCTCTGAGATTGGTCTGTTTGGGTCTTCACATCTCTTTGTCTTGTTTTGTCTGTGTTCATTTGTGGTGCAGTCTCTTGAAGAAGATCGAGAGGGAGACCTGGAGAGAGAGTGGGATTTCTCTGATCGCGACTGTCACAAGACTAATGGAGAGGCTGCTGGACTACAGGTAACACACAAACACACCTGTACTAAGCTTTAGAATGAGTTTGAGCTTATATTATAGTTAAAGGTGCACTATGTAACTTTTCTGCTGAATGTCATTGTCTGTAAATATGTTATTTTATGCCAAGAATGATCTACAATATGCTATTAAATATACCGTTCTCTATGGAGTGAGAGTTAAAGGTCAGATCTGTATAAAAGGTGATTTTAGCAAAAGAAAGAGCTAATTGAATGAGGACAAGATAGACAAGTTTAATGCTGTACTGTGGAACAATTCACACAGCACAATAACATCTACATGAAGGCCAGCAGGTGGCAGGCACAGTGAACTTCTAAGACTAGAACTAAGAGTTTTTGTATTGTATTTATTTTGTATATCTTTGTTTATAATGCTTTGCAGAGACTGTATGAAGTTGGGGGAAGTAGATGGCAAAAAGATTGGATGTACTGTGAGTCTACTGGTGAGTAAAACCCTCTTTTTAATCGGTAATTGCTTGCTTATTTTTTATCAGGAGATTGGGTGATACATTTCAGTTTTACTGGTGATAAATGGAAAATGCATGAACAGAAAATGGCAAAACTGTATTGGTATACCATCATCGTTAGTTAGTTATTTTATTTCAAACCTGCACATACAATTCACAACATAACAATACAAATACAGATACAAACATGCAGGTTTGAAAAGGGGGATGGATGAAGCAAACCTTTTACATTTCCAATCCCCTCCCACGTTTGACAGAACAACACTTCAACTTAGACAAAACAAACATTCACACACGTATCCACAATCATCATATAATCCTGAAATTTGCAAAGTGAAGTGAAATAGTAGTGGAGGTATTAGTAGCAGTAGTAGAAGTAGCAGCAGTAGTAGTATTGGTACTTTGAGTATAAGTCCTGAAATTTACAAAGTAGATTTCAAGATATTACATCTGTGCAGTTAATGACATTTTAATCAGGATTTCAGTTACTACTAGGGATGTAACAATAACCAAAATATCGTGATATCGTATCATCACAAGTCTCACAATAATACTGTCACAATATATCGAATTACAAGTTCCTTTGCTTAAATTCATGGTTTTATATTTGCAACATCTTATAAACATAGGGAACTACATATCCCATGATTCATTTCAGCACAGACAACATGAAGATATATGTTTTTTACTTGAATTCTTGGGATTTTATGGAAATAATTCACACCAAAATCTTGTCATGGTATTATAAAAGCAAAAAAAAAGTGTCCCATCTACTATTATATTAGCCTCTTCAAAATATCACAATAAGTACCATACTGTGAGATGCATATCGTGATAATATCGTACTGTGAGATGCATATCGTGATAATATCGTACCGTGAGATTTGGATACCGTTACATCCCTAGTTACTGCTCCAGTCAGTACAAATGAATATGTATTATTAGCTGTACAAGGTATTGCATTTATTAATCTACTG